GCAAACTTTTATAGACATATGTTAAAACTGTAATAAAAAGAACCTTGGTGTTAATCGAAGCATATGAACCTGCATTGTAGAAACCGCCAAACACTTGAAGATTTGCCGTTTCAATACTACAAAAAAAGTAATTATATTAATTATAATTTTTACTAAATTAAGCATGTTAATTGAAATGGAAACAAGTCATTGAAATTTTTTACCTCTTTTTGCAGTAATCTCCATCGTACACCCATCCAACGAATTCTTGATTACGCAAATTTTCATTTCGCAACCATTCTTCTAAAGGACGGAAATATTCGCGTACAGCTGATCCATCAAGTCGACCTTCACCCAGCACTTCTTGTATAGCTTGCTGCCATGATTGGGATGCCCCACGTGACATTAATTTCCTGAAAGTTTTGGATCATAAAAACTGAGACTAAGCATCATTAAGTCTAACTACTCACTTTAAAATATTTCCAGCTTCAGGGTGTCTATAAATGCTACACTTATGTAAAGGCTTAGATGGATTCACGGGATCAAACTCACCAGATGCTATACACATCGCTCGATGTAATTGAAATTGGAAAACTGCTGCAAAGAAGTACCTTAATAAAAAAAATAAAAATAAAATTAACAAGTCATAAAACTAATTTAAAGATTATTAACCTGATATATACACAAAATTTACGAAAAAATGATGGAAATTCAATGTCAACTTTCCCACATCTGACCACAAAAATATTATTTTTAATTTTCTGTCAAGGTCGACGTTTTTTGAGAGGAATTTTAAAATATGTTTTAATGAGCTTCAAAGTCAATTTTGTGTTTTTATGAAACCGTAATGGAACTGATGGAAAATCTCTCTTTGTTGTGTTTATTGCAGGCAAATTAGCAAGCTAAAAATCATCTAATTTTGGAACATTTTCCACCAATTATCATCGGATGTGTATTATTTTAAGGTTTCTAAAGTTAAGAATGAGCAATTTATGTTGGAATCAAATCGGAAAATCGTAGAGAGATTATATGACAAAGACTTTTTTCAGCCAGAATGGAGTGCGCTTATTCCAAAAATTTGCATTCAAACCTCCTCATTTAAATTCCTCACAAAACGCTTGATGCCTCATAAAACGATATTAATAAAATGTTTTGGATCCGAGCATAAAAATTAAAATAATTTTTGGACATAAAAAAAATCTCACAAAGTACGGAAACACTTTTTATGCGTTTTGCATATGATACTCATTTATATTTTTATGGTACACAATGGATGTGAATTTATGACGATTTCGTAATCGTTGAACCTTGTTGAAGGCAAAGTGTAAATAATTAAATAACTGAAAGCTGAGGGTTTTTCATTTCATACAGCATAATTCTATATTACAGCATTAAGTTTTTCCTCTCTAGTGCCCTTTTTCATCTAAACCCAATGAAAGATCGTGACTTGCTGATTATTTAACATGCTCAAGTTTCTTCTTACTTTTATTAAGTAGCCAGGATCATTCAATATAAAATTATATTTTAAATAGCTTAACATTACATAACTAATGATCTGATTTAATGGAATGCAATGTATTGATGTCAAATGTCACACATAATTACCCATTAATAATTAATTTGACATAAAATGTCAAGAGTATTTAACGAAAATTTTTATAGAAATGGATATAATTCGAGAGACATTGAAAGTTAAGATGTCAAAATCGCCATTATTTAAAAAAAAAAATAAAAAGTAAAGAAAACTGGAAGAAATTTTCAAGGCATTTTTTGAGTAAGCACGGGCTGTTAATTACTATTTATAGCGGTTTAAATTGAGTAAATTATGTCAAATAAAATGATTTTAAAGTATTGATCAAGGACATCTAGTTAGTCGATACCATAAATACTGAATTCTTCGTTCAAAAAGTTCCAATCTCAATTTTCTTACAACTCTTCTTAACCTGATTAATAATTGCTGAAAATGCTAACTTGTTCAATTTTCTATAATTTTTGTGTAATGCAGAGACTCCAGACTAATTGTAAGCTTTTAAATTTACCATAAAATTTGCTCTAAATTACATATTAGCAAGACACAAAGTTGATGCATACAAGATTGTTATTATAATAATAAAAATAAGCATTTATAACAGAAATTGCTTAACAATGAGCAGCATGACTTGCAATGTAATTTAGATTTTTGTACTTATAGTGTTAGAGAATTCATTGAATTATGAAGAAGGCGTTACTAGTAAGGTGGTGTCGTTAGTTTTTGTGGATTAATGTTAATATTAGGACACAAGTTGCTCAAACAAGAACCAAACAGACTTTAATGTTACAGAAGAATGCAAAAATTGCAGACATGACAGACAATCCATAAAAATTATCAAGACAGCTACAAATTATTCAACTATTCATCATATAATCATGTCGATCAAAGGAGAGAAAAGAACATGTAGAAATTTAATTAAGAATTTTAAAATCCCATTTGAGCTTGTCTTTAAAATCAGCATGTTTCATCTCTTTTGTTTACTTTTCTCAGACATCTGTTGCATGCAGGTTGCAAAATTTAATAAATGTGACATAATTGCTTTTAGAGAAGTATAATTTTGTAACTTTAAGATCACTTTATAGATTAATTTTTATGCTGCTCTGCAAAGGATATAAAATTTCATACTCACACAGTCATTTTATGACTCATGCAATGTTTTTTTTAATGGATATTCAAAGGAATCTAAAGTTCAAATGAATAATTTGTGGTTTTCCTGATAATGTGAAGCTTTGGCACACAAAACATCGCACCACTTCAAAAATATTTCAACTAATATTTTTTAAACCAAAAATTCCAATCTGAAGGTTTCAACTCATTACAAAGTTGCATCTCCCCCCTAATATAAGCAAAAAATTTCTCATTTATTATAGCAAAACTGTTCATAATATTCAATTATCATAATCAAAATCGCTCACATCTTACATTTTCAAACGTGTTGAAAACAAGCGCCGGCTTCTTCTTCTTCAATTTTATTGTTGCACATACATACTGACTTATGAGGTGATTATTAAACATTTGGCGCACATTATAATGCAGAAAATGAGTTGGAAAGCAGGCATGATTTAAAACTTTTATGATGAGCTACAAGTACTACGCTCATAAATTATTTTTAAATGTATATAGAGACAGAATGTCTGTCTCTATACCTTACCACAACAGAATCAATTAAACACTTCATCATCAACCCACAACAAATTTTTATTGCCACTCAAAATCACTTAATTGATTTAAACTACCATATTGATTACTTAAACTTAAAGCAGTTTCTCGACATTTCGACATGATTTAATTACAATAAGACAGTCAGACACTCCAGCAACGCTCCCATAAGGAAAACTAATAATTTTTATTAAAGTTTAATGACCGTAAACCATCTGAACTGGAAAATAAATCTTAAGTAATCAGACACAACAGCACATAGAGGCGATTGATGTTGCAAAAGTAAATACACATCATGCATTTACTTCTTTTGCTTTTGTTTTGTGTTTTGTTTCTGTTATTAGCGAGTTTTTGTGGAATATTGAGGTAGTGGCGTTAGCTTTGGGTATATTTTTGAGAATGGCTCACTTTGAAGCATTGATTTTCATTTCGAGGGTCTGATTCGAGAGAGGTTAAAGGACGATAAAGTTGCCAAACTTTCTCTGTAGAAAATATTTATAAATAATTCACAAAACCGCCCCAAAGTCGATCTCTAGTTGCTGGTTGCCAGCTGATCCTGACATTCCATTCGCTTAGAAAAATGCAACCTGATTCTTCACTTGTAATAATGCACCTACCAAATTGATTTTATTTCTTTTTTTCAATTTCCACATTAGGCTTATGAATTTATTTTACATTCACATTTCTATGTTGTGTGATTTGATGATTGAGATTATTTCCATTTTTCACGCAATTTATAAGACATTTGTCAACAAGTTACAACTGCTAATTGTGAAATTATTTTAGTTTCTTTATTTAATGATTGAATTTTCATGTAATTAGTCTTATCTCTGATTTGGCATTATGTAAGAAATAATTTGTTTGCATTTGCCGAATGTTCATTGAAGGTTTTAATTCATTTTAAGATTTTTCTCCTTTTTGTCGCATGTCTATCACTATGTTTAATTCTATTATGTAGTAGATAAATATTTTTGCAAATTAAAGCATTTTTCTATTGAATAATTTAAAAGGTGATTTTAATCTATAGCAGAGATTATCATAAATGTTTTAGTGCTGGGTTGTTACTAGCGAAATAGCAACTTTTTGATGCACGGTCGAATTAATCTAATTATTTAGAAATGAATAGCATGTGTCATTGTTTATGAAAAAGTTACTAAACTTTGGTGGTTTCATTCTTCGTCTTTTTTTGACGAAATAGAAAATTTTACAATTAACTTAATTAATAATGAGTGACTTTGGTAAACATTTCAAGGATTAGTAGTTGAACTTTTAGCTTAAAAGTGCATTCAGGTATAGTTTACTCATTCTTAGATGACCTCTCCTTCAACTATATCACCACTCTGATGCTGTTAATGTATATCTGCTGTCACTACTCTTCTTTAGACTATAGAGACAATAAGAACCCATTAAAAGGCAATTAGATTAATCAACTAGATTTGACACTTTATGCACGTAACATAATCAGTTTCTTAAGTAAGAGATTCCAAAAATAGCATTCAAAATTTTTAAAAATCGCCCAATGAGCAAAAAAAACCAAAGAAAATTAATTCAAGCTCTAAAAATATCCATTTTGATATAATATAATCTCATATGATACACATAAATTGCAGCAATAATTTAATGTGTCGGTGGGTCTGTGGCGCTTATGTGTAGTCTGTTATATCTGTTATTTCATTCAATACTACACATTTTTTTTTTCGGGGGGAAAGTGTTACTCTTTAAATGCAGAACTTGTACAATACGTAAACACAACAACAAAAAACAACAAAATCATATTCACAATATTAAATACAAATGTGGTATAAAAGCTGTGGAAAGTTCAAGATTCAACATCAGTTTTCCATTTGCTGTTTGAATCAAAACATTCAGAGAAATATTTTAAAAAAATTAAATTTTTTTCGCAAATAAAAAGCACAAAAAATAAATAGGAAGAGAGAAAAAGATTTCAAAGGACTTGCTTAAGTTTTTTTGTTGAATATTATTTTGTGATAAATTTAATTAAACATTATAATTAAAATGAAATTCTTGGTAAGAGGAAGAAAAACGAATATCAAGTGATGAGGATATAATTTGTGATAACACATGAATGGACAATAAACAATGAACGAAGTGAATTGCAAAAAAAACTAGTTCAAAAGACTTAAAGTGCATAAACATTTAATTAAAAAGGCAATCAAAATTATGAAATTTAATCAAAGAAAGTGGAACAAAAAAGCTGATTAAATTAGAAAGGATTAAAAATTTATTAAATCAAGTTAATTGGATACATGTGATTAATCAGTATTGTAACTCATGAAAGGATTAAAACTGATTTTATGAGGATAATGATCAAATTATACTTCGGTTGGATATAAAACCAAGTTAATTGCAATTCTTATGCAAGAATTTGAATCATGTGCATTGCTTCAAACTCAATTTTATTGCCTGACTATCAAAGGCTTCAAAAGAGAGATACAAAGTTCTAATATCTACATAGTTTACATTGAAAAGCTTCTAATCAACACTTTAAATTAGACATTTCCTCAAAAATCCAAATTTTAACTTATCAATTCATTAGCCATCTTTACAACCCTTATGAACCCTCTCACTACAAATTCATAATATCTCTGTTACTCCATACCTATAAACTCATTATTCAGAGGACTCAACCATAGCAAAAAAAAATTCGAAAGAAAAGCTATTTGAGTAATTGTATTATTTTATGGCATAAAGCGCTCAAAATAATCGTAAACCTTTTCTTTAATGCCAAAAAATTATTATAAAATCGTGTTGGTTAATTTTTCGGGGTAATCATACGCATGTGTAACACATGAACATTATCTTGCTCATTGCTCATGTTTGATTACGTGAAAGTCGAGCATTTTTAATTGAAGACGAAGAAAAAATTATGAAAAATTGAGTGTAATTACAAATTATCATCATCATCACTAATACGGAAACTAATGCAGACGTACTAAAAGCTTTGCATAACAATAAATAAATTCATTAACATTTTCCAACCATTTAGGGAGTAGCAATTTTGCTAGCTCTTGCCGTTCTTTCGGCTGCTGATGAGGAACCAAAACAAGCAGTTGAAGACACAAAAGCTGATGAATCTCAAGCTGAAGCATTAGTTGATAAAAAACAAGAGAAGCGTGGAATTTATGATTTCGGAGACTGGCACTCACATCATGAACCAATCCATGAAGAGAAGACTCTTACAATTGTAAAGAAAATCCCAGTTCCTGTTCATCATGTTAAGACTGTCCATGTTCCACATGTTAAGGAAGTTCATGTTCCAGTCAAGGTTGGAGTTCCAAAACCATACCCAGTCATTAAACATGTTCCATATGAAGTCAAAGAAATTGTAAAAGTTCCAGTTCATGTAACCAAGCACTACCCAGTTGAAAAGGTTGTCCACTATCCAGTCCATGTTCATGTTGAAAAACCAGTTCCTTATGAAGTTAAAGGTAAAACTCGACGCCATTCTTTCAATTTCAAATCATTTGCTAATGTCATATTTTTGTTAACAGTGAAAAAGCCTTATCCAGTAGTCAAAGAAGTCAAAGTTCCAGTTGAAGTCAAGGTTCCAAAACCATACCCAGTCATTAAGGAAGTCAAATACCCAGTTGAGAAGGTCGTTCATGTTGACAAACCATATCCAGTTGAAAAGATTGAACATTATCCAGTCCATGTCAAGGTTGATCGTCCAGTACCATACAATGTTGACAAACCATACCCAGTCTACCATGAAAAGAAAGTCCCATACCCAGTCGTTAAGGAAGTTAAATATCCAGTCCATGTTCCAGTTGACAGACCAGTACCAGTCTACAAAGAAAGAGAAGTCAAGGTCCCAGTAAAGGTTCCATACCCAGTCCCATACCCAGTCACAAAGGAAGTTCCATATCCAGTCGAAAAGGAAGTCCCATACCCAGTCAAGGTACCAGTCGAGAAACCAGTCCATGTTGAACTCGAGAAGCATGTCCCAACTGTGGTTACAAAACCAAAACATTACAAAGTTGAATATCCAGTTCACAAAGAAGAACATCATCATCAAGAATCCAGTCATGGAGGTCAAGAAGGACTTTCAGAGGGATATGATCATCACCACTATTAAAAAGTGGTAACCACCAAAACTATTGTGATGTTAACTTCTCTTCGACACTCCAAAACTTCTCTACCTCCAGTTGTTTTGACGAAGCAGAAGTAAAATTTATAAGAAAATACCAAATCAAAAAACTCTCATCTACCCTATACTCATCAACTTCCCTTGTTATCAAGCTACCTTCGAGCATACAACCTGTATGCAACTCATTAAATAGATTTTGATTATAAATGAATGCTGTGTTAGCTCAATCCACGAGCATTTCTATTAATTGTTTGTATGAATTTATAATCTAAGGCTTTAAATAATTAAAAAATACTATGAAAAAAAAATAAAAGATGCTACTTCTTTACATTTAAATTTTGATTTTCTTAATTTTATAGTTCCTCATTCCATGGATCATTTTGAGCATTTGTAAACAAATGACACGTTTTATGCAACTTAATAATCACCTCATCAACGGTAAATCGTCAAAATTTGTGCAATTCGAGTGCAGGCTTAATAATCATTATTGAGTGAAAATATAAAGGCGCATGTTTTGAATTGCAAAACAGTAAGACAATCATTACAATACAAGTCTTTAAACGCACTCTTTGTGAAGAGATATTAAAGTTTCAAGGTTTTGTGACAAATTTATAATTGTTTGATAAAAACCGTTGAAAACTAATTTGAAAAATCTAATCTGAAAACATCATCACTTAAAAAAGTATTTCAACAAATATGCCAATAAACTTAACTAATCATTAAATAACTAGTAATGTAACATCTTTAAAAAAGTGGCAAGAAACATTTTCAATGCGGTAATAACAGCAAATCCTTCTGGTTTTCTTGATTCAACACGAAATGTCAATCAAAAACACACACTGCAAACTCAACTTCATATAATCCAAGCTACAAATGAAGAAATTAAGCTTCGTAATTATCGAATTACGCTATTGAAAGCGAAATTCGCGGAAGAACTGGATTCATCAAACACGATTATGCAATTCTGCACTCTTTTCATTCGCTAGTGTTTTCTTTCTTTCTCTCTAGTTCGCCAAAACAAAAGATTTTATAAAAAAATGAATGTAACAATATGGAATGAAAATGTTTGAAGAATAAACGAAATGAAAATGAAAACCAACATTGCTTCTTGTTTTTGTACATAAAAAAAGCAGTTGCTCTATTTACTTCAACTTTTTTTTCTTCAATCATTTCTTCACATTTCTTATTTCACGGTTACGAAATGTATGATTGTGTATAAACATGTTCATGGTATTGAATTGAACCGGTACGGAAAGTTGTGAGTAAATCGAGACTACTTGATTTAATTAGATGCGACAGGGAAATCTTACTTTATAAAAATAAATTCATCAAAAATTTTAATTTTGCAGACGGTAGGCTAGACATTTTTCTGCTCGCACGTAAACTTGTTTTTTGGTATATATAAGATCAATAAAGCAGATGAGTATGTGAGATAAGAGGAAGAGATGATCAGGGGATGAGTAAATAAGTTTTACTGTTTTCATTTACAAAATTGGTTCCTTTTTACAGAATTTTAAATAATCCTTTCATCTCATTAGATTATAATTATGCATTTAAAGCGATCAACTTTTCTTCCTGAACACTTGCTGCGCCGGCAAATTAATTGAGGTTTGTTGAATATTTAACAATTAAAATTCAGAAAGTAGTACTCGCAATATCTTTAGGTAATCAATACAATATCTTTAGGTGATCAAACTATGCAACTTGGCTATTTAACACCCCAAAAATACTCAAAAGTTACCTTCCGTTGTTAATACAGAAATAAGCCCAATTTATCATTAATGTAAAAAGATAGTTTAGAGATTAAAAGTGTGTGGTCAGTGGCATTGAACTGATAAAAATGCGATTACTTAACAATTACGAGTCTCATGAGAGTGATTTTCGACTAATTAAATAAATAATTCCATCTTAAATCGCAACATAACCATGAAAAGACATCTCACTTACTTCATGTATGGTGTATTAGCTGGTATGTGATACTTTGCACCAGGATCGAAGTCAAATTCTGATCGTAAGACGGGCGGCTTTATTCCACCGTATTGCTCTCTGTAAAACATAAAATGTAGCTATTAATGTCATGAAATATATAAATAATTGTTATGCATTTGTTAAAAGCATAGATTTTTCGCAACAAAGGAAGTTCATATTGTTGAATTGCAACAGATCTGGGCTTACATGTAGCTCATTTTAAGTGTATTTTCTTGAAAATGTGGCAGTAGCTTTACTTTGTCCAAAAAGGTCTTGTAAGGATAATTTGCAAAATTAAAAAATTTTAAAACTTGGACAATTTTTGAAAACTTCAAATTTCATCAAAAAATGCGCTCCTGGATCTTAGTGTTCCCGTTAATCATACCAGTTATAAAAAGCTTTTATGATCGCAACTAAAAAAATTAAACACACAAAGTGCAATTAAACATTTTTTTGTTCACTTTTTCACAACTTAAATGGAGTTGAAGGCATTAAAAGCTGTGGTCCATAAGAGATGTGAAGGAGATTCACTTTCAAAAAAAAAAAATGATAATAAACTTACCTCAAAAGCCACCAATGACAGTTGAACTGTTCCTTTCGGATTTTCTTCGTGAAGATATCATATCTCCACTCTTCTAGGGCAAGTGCGTATGGAAGGAAAACCACCTGATTGTGAAATTTTATTATTGCATTTTATGGCTATCACAAAAAAAGCTACACCTTACCTTATCCATAGCCATAGCAAATAAGAAATTAATGTCATGTGCTGTATCATCAACTGATTTTTGAATTAATCCTAGACCTTGTAAGTGTTTTGGTGTGATGGACAGTGTTATGGCATCTCCAATTGCATCATGAAACCCTATTAATGAAATTTCAATTAAAATTATTATTCAGAGCATCCACATAATAATAATATTTAGCAAGTCTTTCATCTCATAATCTTTAAATACTCAGTAATCGATTGCTACATCATCAATACGGTGATTTGTCAATAATTATGCTGTACTAATAAAACTCAATCCTCAAATATGATCAAAACTAGTTGCGGAGCAATTTGTACAATTCATAATGAAGCATTTAGAAATAAATTAGCGCATTCGTAACATGCCATTAATTTGCAAAAGTATCTTTATGATCTACAACTCTTAATGCTACTACGACATTGCATTTCCTTTTCTTCTCGAAATGTCAAAACAATTTTAATTTCTTCGGAATTGATTTATGCGAATGGACATGTTGCTATGAATTGCTAATGACTGTCATAAATCATTTAATGATTGCGATCTGATTTCATTTTGGATGTTGAGTGTAGGGGATTATCTTATCTGAACCAAAGTCGGTATGTTGTATGTGTTATGTCTATTATTAAGACATTTAAAGTAGGTTTATTGCTCTGAGTTCCGCACTTTTTGTTTTAGTGGACATTTTCGCTCACACATACTACATGTTTCCTCAAAAAATGTTATGATGACTATATTACTGCGATCGTTCACCCATTTCTCAGCATGTGGGCAGGCAGGTAATAGTAACAATAAAAAAATTAATAACTTTTTTTGATATTGCAACATACCTGGATTAGCGCCATCACGAAATATTTTTGGATTATTACGATAATTCAAGAAATATTGAATGTGTGCCAACTCGTGGTGAACCGTTATGAAGTCTTTATGCGTAACGTCTGTGCACATTTTAATTCTGTAAAAAAAAAATATTTACATTTGTTAAAAATTAAAACTTGTAAAAAGCATTAAAATTATAGTCGATGATTGACGGGCTGTCGATTAATTAAATGCAAATGCAATGCAAAAAGCTATTTATTGTGTTTAATGAAGACATTTAATGGCAGTTTTAATAAAATTTTTATATTCATGCATCTACGCATGAATCATATTTTAAATGCATGTGGATTCATGACAGCAATTGTGAACATGAGTCGTGAAATTAAATAGATTAAATAAGATAAACTTACCTATAATCAATTCCATTACAAAAGTCCCAAGCACTCGGCTGACATAAGACAGGTCGATCAACTGGTTCCGCGAGTATTGATTGTGCCCAAAAGTCTGGTGGCAGTGATGTCATATTCATTGACACGAAAAATTCTTCAGCTAATTGAAACATAACTGCTGGAGTATATCCTTGAGCTCGCATAGCAGGGGTCACATCAAGATATGTACGACCTGGATAAGGAAGGGTTAGATCTAAAATATTCCAACTTTGTCCGTACATATTGCCTAAAATGTGAGCAGGCAGTGGTGCATTTCTGTTGATTTTATCTGGTCCATAGTATTCACGAAGTTTCCTTCTGACATAAGCATGAATTAGCTCATACAGAGGCAGAATCTCTTGCCATACATTCTCCATCTCATATCTTAAATCTGGTGTATCGAATGGAGCACTCCAATACTCTGCAGCATTTGTGTAATCTACAGTAAAATTATATAATGATATTTTATGTTCAGTTTGCAGTTTACAAAATGTCAAACTTACTATTGTACTTGGCTGCATCATTTGACAGATCAGCAAGTTGTTCAAATAAATCTCTCATTGGTTTACCAGCTTTTCGTCTCCATTCTGTCCACACCCATGTTAATTCATCCCAATCCCTCGACTTTGCCATGATCTAGAGATAAAAATTGTTTATTTAATTCATCCGAGCAACAAATGAGGGCTCATGACTTGAATAGCTTGCAAAAAGTTCAATTTAAGCCTCGAATTGTCCCAAATCACTCGGGCCTTAAAAACTCAAGAAGCAAAATGTCAATTATTACAAAACCAGTACTTACATCTCGTAAATGTGGTTGAAGTCTCAATGAACATTCAAATGGCTGCTCATATCCACAGATTGTAGCTCCATTGTATATTGTTAGCATATCATTTATAATTCTATTATACTGTAAATTTAATTTAACAAAATAATTCAATTTATCAGTCAAAATGAAATTAAGTTTCAATGTTAATCGGCTGAGAGATAATTTATCGAGCATTAATGAAAATTTACACGAGAAAATTATCTGAGAAGTTCAATTAATGATTCATGATAATTTTTTTTCAATCAAATTAAAAATATATTAACCCGATCAAGCTGATCAGCTGGCAATGCCGCAGGTCCAACATTTGATAACAACTTCAGTTGACGATAAAGCTTCTCATCATTAATTGCACTCGAGTCTATCGTCTTGGTTTGATCAAAAATGTACCTCATAAAATCTGAATATCTTTGCTGAGCTGTTAACTGTCAAAAAAGCAGTAAAATTTAGTCAAAATCAATGATAAATTTGCGAATTAAAACAATGCAGTCATAAAAAGTTCCCATAGAGCAGCATAAAGTTCCCATCAGTGGTAGCCGCAACAATAAATAAATAGAAAAAATGTGAAAAGATTTCTATGATTGGATAGAAACGTGGAGTCTATGCTGCTAAGTGCTCTATCTTTAGGTCAATGTCAAAATGCTTGGGTAAGGAATTAAGGTCAGAATTAAAGTTTTTTGAATAATTTTCAACGCACTCGGACCAGGTTATAAAATTAATTCTCACTCACAGCTTCCAACTGCGATACTTCATTGACATTAGTCTCGAAATTCCATTGAGCTGCCACATTTAATGTACATTCTGAAGAATGCTTCTTATCAATTTCTAACAGCAATTGACGCAATTTCTCTGTTTCAACACGAATTCTTCTTTCATATTCGATGTCATAAGGGTTCTGGTTGTTATATCCATCGTTGACATTAAAGTTGTTTAAATACCCATTATTATTGTTATTATTGATGCCATACCGATTGTTTGGATCGTTATTATTGCCATATTGGTTATTTAAGCTACTTCCATATCTTTCATTAGCATTATTTTTATTGTTGATGTTACTTTGAGGGAATTGCTGAAGTAAAGAAAATAACACTTAATTTAATTTACAATTTTTCATGCCTTTTAAGTATCTCACTTGAGGACGTCTGTTGTTGAATTCATTCTCATTATTTTGCGGAAATTTAAAATTATCGCGGTTAAAATTGGTGTCAGTTGGGTTCCGATTATCATAATTGTTCCGAAGCCTCTCATTATCTCGTTGATTTTGTGGATATTCTTCGTTCTCGTTACTGTCGTATGGTGGACCTGGCAAGAAAAAATTATAGTAGTGTTATGTAAGATTTAAGCTTTAATTTTTATTCTTGCACAATTCACTTTACATCACTTTATCACTTCATTACCATATCTCTGACTTCGATCAGTATCATATGCACTATTAGTGCCACTTTTAGGCTCATCATCAAATTTATCATTTGAATAACTATTCGGCATCACTAGAACTCTTGGTCCTTTTCTCTTTGGTTCATCTAAAGGCTGAATACCCGGTATATCCAATTGTGGCTCACAAATTGACATTTTCACCAAAAAAGCACAGAAAACTGTAAAAGTTCTTAAATCCATCTTAAATATTTTTTCAGTTTATTTCTAAACTTCACGTCTAAACCCTTCAAAACTACAAATGAAATTAAAAGTAATCATATATGACAGAATGCGGGTTTACTAGTCATTATCATATTGTATAGTTTCTTAGTGTGTAAGTTCATTTTTCCCTTTGTAATTACCATACTATAAACACATTGTTGTCTAAAATACCTTTTTTTTCTTACGCGAAAAATGCATGTGCTGTGAGAAAAACCACACATAAGTCGAGTCGAGGCTTTAGCAGGTTTTTATAGAAAATTTGCTGGTTTTTGAATTAATTTGACTAAGGTAAGTAATCCCTTTTTATTGAAGACGATAAGCTTTTTAAATTTCGGGCATTAATTAACAATCCACAATTTTAATGGTTTGCCAACTTGAAAAGGACTGGATAAAGGATAAAAGAGCAAACATCAATGACTTTCTAACTTGCATTTTCTTCTTAATTTTCTCAACACATTATTATGGTATTTAAATGCAACTTACTGGACAGTATTTAATGCATTTATGTTAGTCTTTGTAGTTTTTCATAATGACCTATTTATGTGTTATCATCTGCTTCTGCTCAGTGTACTGTTAATTCATTAGAATATAGTTAAGGTTCCTACTGATTGTTCATTAAATTCTAAAAATTGAAACTTTTTGTAGGTTTTTCATTTTCAAAATATTTTTTCAACCAGAATGATAATTTTCAAATTTTCAAATAGGGTGCTTCTGGATTTGACTCTATCAAATACAAACATCAATGATTTTTCATAATTTTAGAATCAAAAATGAATTTATCGAATTTGGCAACCGTTGTGAAAAAAACTTTCAAAAAACCGTTAAAAAAATATTTAAAATCTCCAAAAACATTTGAAAAGCTTTAATAAAAACATTTGAAAAGTTCTAGTCGATCTCCCAGCAAACTCATAATATCTATACATCGCTTCTCCTCAATTTATGAAAAGTCAATCAATCGTGAAAAAAATTCTCATGATTAAGTCACAAAACATTATTCAATAGTCATTAACTTTCCAAATCATAATACCATGCATGAAAACATTTCCGTCCACAAGACACACAATTCAAATCATTCGTTATCGAGTTCCTTTTTTATGTTCACGCTTTACTTCTCATCTACACAGAACATTTCTTCTCGATTGAACATTATTTTTATATTTTTTCTATGCTTTACATCTCTCAGTCTCTTATTAGGTCTCGCATCGATAAGACGTTAGGAAGGAAAAGTGAATAAAGATTGAAGCGCGTGTTCTCTACAGTTGAGAAAAGTGAGCAAAAAAAATCTTAAAAATAAAAAAAAAATATTTTCACTTTCATGTTGAATTAATGTGATTTATTAAATGAAATTCACGACATGAGGATTTAGTGATCAGCACAATAAAATGTGACATTTATTATCGTTTGAAATTTGTATTATCAATTAACTATTAATCTCACATATGCCTTTATGACTTCCTTGTAACATCGCGAAGTGATTTTTGAAAAAGAAGCAACTAAGTTTGTGTATATGCTGAACAGCTTAGAATAAAATTGACGTAAAGAAAAAAGCAGAATATTAAAAGTGGAAATAATCAATTAGTAAGTGCAATCTAATTAACAATACTTGCATTTTCTATATTTGCGGATGATTTCATTCTTGTTGCGAATATTGTGGTGATGATTAAATCTGGATGTGGTTGGATGAAGGAAGTTTGATGTTTTTTTGACATTTTCTTTTAAACAATCTTCTTTGTAATTGAACACAGTTATTCTTAAATTAACGATGATGTTTGCAATATTTTTGGATATAAGGTGCAATTACTTTGGGTTTTAACTTTTTGAGGAGATAAGCTTTGCGAAACTTTAATTAATTTAGATTTATCAGATCAATAAGACCAGGTTTCTCAATCTTTAAAATGTCATAAAACAATTTCTTTCTTCCTGAAAGACACACCGGAATTCTGAAAAAGATAACAATAATTTCATTGATGATAATCGTATCCAACTGAGAATTAAGTGTGGTAATGAATTTCGTACATGAATATTAAACAAGTGTTAAAATGGATAGATTTCAGCGGAAAAGTAATGCTTGTACAGTATATTGAGTGCTTGTAATTTGATACGATGTGTTTATAAAATTATCAAAAAAATCCACATTTATAGCGGCAGTGAAAGGAAAGCAAAGAAGAAGCAGAAAAAATTCTTTTTATTACCGGTAAAAATTACACACACGGGTATTAAATAGTTGGATTAAAAGGAACATGAAAAGGAAGAGAAATTACATTGTGAAACCTTTTGCTGCACACGAAACATTCAAGTTGTCTCCCATCAATTGATTATTAGCTTCCCTTCAATAAAAAAACTAATTCAAAGGAATTTTCAAAGCATATGAGTAAGGGGTTGTGCCCCTGTTTTTGGTTTACCTTTCATACCTTTTAATTTTTGTGTATTTGCTTCTTGAAGTGCTCTTCATCTTTTGTGCAATATCATTTCTTTCACATGACCTACGTTTTTTTTACGAGTCGATGATCATTCAACTATCGCATGAAGTTTTCAGTCTGAATGCAATTAGAAGAGGTTCATTATGTCTGACTTTATTTTTGGGTTCTTTTAGGGGAAAAATGTTGTGTTTTCTTTAGGCAATCAAAAATAAGATTTAATCCCAGATATTTTACTAAAATTAAGTTTGTAATTCAGAATTGGATTAAATTTGGACTCTACTTTCATTAGCCTAGGATAGCAAGATTTTAATCTCTCCAATTTAAATTAAACCAACAACATCCGAACAAACCTAAAACATCCTTAATTATCTTCATGATCATTACGAAATCGTTTTCTATTTTTCAAAATAAAATGGTCAAATCCTTCATCTTCTTAACATACAGGCTGTTTTAGATATAGAAAAGTAATTTATGTTTTATTGAATTCCTAAACATGACATATCATTTATTAAATGAGCTTATAAAAGATGATAAAAGAAGAGTAAAAATACGCATTAAACTCTTTTTTTCACTCAATTTATCAAATCAAGCGTCTGTGCAAAAATGAAAAGAAATATCAAACAACAGCTGAATCGTCTTTCATATTATAATCTGTCGCACATCAGAACGCTCAACTTTTTGTGTATACGTTTTTTTCGGGATGAAATTCTTTTTTTATTTTTAAAGCAAAAGAGATAAATTACTTGCTGTATGTGGAACAGATAGCGAAGATGAAACTCCCATTATGAACAGTCAATTAACTATTAATTAAGAATCATTTAAGTGCAACAAATGCTGCTGAGTTGTCAAGTTCATGCGAGCATATGGAGCCACCTGTTGCATTTTTCATATTTTTTTATGTACTTCAATGCGTCAGGATGAATTGAAGCGTAAATGTATGGATTGCAGAATGATGATAAACATCCTATGGGTAGTAACGGGTTGTGTGGATTGACTGATTTGTGATATTTTTCATCTTTATACGAAATTTGCTGTAACTTCTAATTAGTCAAGTTGTTATTTAGTCAAGCTACATCCATGAAATTCATTGCAATTTTGCTATCTTTAAACATAAAAATTAAGTGCTGACAATTATATTTTCGAATTCTAATATCCATAAACCAATTTAGTAAATCTGCTGACTGCATGATACTCTCCACATTTACATATTCCATGCAATCTAATCAATTGATGCTAAATCAATAATATGCATTGATATGCATAAAAAATAACATAAATTGACGTCTCATTGATTAAATTTATTTATTTTTCTTCTTCTATTTCCGACCTTGAACTAGACACTGTCAACGGCATGAACAAACGAATAAGCAACTTAACTTCAATTGAAGGCACTTATGTATGCGGAATACTTTATATCAAATAAAATAATATTAAATTTGAATACTTTCGAGGATGAATACATTTTATGTCGGTTATGGGATGTATAATTTTCTTGGGTTTGGCTCTGTGAATTATCTCTCTTTGGGGGCTTGTTGGGAACTTTATCATTACAGGGTATTTATTTAAACAATTTTCTTCTGGTGCTGGCTTTCTGTCAGAATAAATATAAAGTCATAGCTTCAAATTCGCAATTTTCAACGAGCAGCATCCCTAGTAAATGTCATACTACAAAGTATGAATGAAAAACATGTGTAGTTGTGACTTATACTACATGTTTACCATAATGTAAAGGAATTAGCATAAAATAATATCAACTTCATGCTGCTTCCTATTTTTTCCGGCTATTGAATGACAATGTCGGAGAAATACGAGAAGTAATCATAAGTTTCTATTGAATGTCATCCATTGATTATTTAATCTAATGTGCTATCAGCCTTGTTTATGCAGTAATAAATAAAATATGTCACAACTTTAGACCATCAATCATGATGAGCTAAAGACAGGGTTGTTACTTGATTGGATGATTTTTTGACATAGACAGAATTGAAAGAGACGTGACTATTTTTCAACAACAACCCTGATCTAAAGCCTATTCTCTGCCGAATTGTCGGTCAAATGAAAGCAGTTAATTTAATAGCTACAAATCTGGATAAATGACTTAAAACAGAGTCATGATGCTGATAAAGTTGTTATTTTGGATTTATTAAATTACATTTTTTGCTGCTTTCTGCTTTTATTTTAAGAAATATTGGAATTTTTAAAAGCTAGTAAGCTCAAGGATTAATAGGTCAATGAGCTTGAAAGAAAGAGTTTCTATGATTGCTCACTAGGAACCAACTTTGATCAAATTTATGAAGAAAAAAGTGATTTTGAGAAAATTGTAACCAGCAGGATCAAATAAATATCAAACCACAAAACATCAAGCATGTCTTGCCAAACTGATTATTGTCGTTAACTTGAAAAAAGAAATCATCATTTCTATGTTTTATGATTCCTAATTGTGATTCGAATTAATTTTCCGACTCAAGCTAATTTATTAATATTCAGGCAAATGGAATTGAATATTCTATAATAATCGATTCCACAATATCAATTTCTGTATAGTACTGACTCTGCGACAGCATGTCTATCGTATCATAGCAATTTTAATAGACGGAAAAGAAAATTTTGTATCACTTATTTGTAATCTCTTCAAATTTTTTCGTGTGCGGTTCCAAAAGGCAAAAGAAAAGGAATTCGTGCGCTTAAGTTAAACGAACTGAGAAACCTTTAAGGTCAGAATATAATAATATTAATTCAATGATTTTATTTTCTTCTGTAATAAATTGATATTAAATTGAAACACATTTCTGTGACCCGTGGACACATTTATATTGAGAAACATTAATTAATTGCACTCGTGGACGTAAAGTTAGTGAATTTTCATAACATCCAAATTTATTGAGATACTTAAATGACTAATGCACAATCAGATAAATTTCAAGGAAGTTGATCGTGTGCCTCAGATCTTCATTCCACACTTCAAGTACGAGCGCAATGTACAAATTGAATAATGTTGCATTTTGTCACTGCTAATTATGTTATAAATCACGATAGACCCCCACGGCCAGCGGTTTCGTGCGAAAACAAAAACAATTTAATTTGTAATCGTAATAAATTTTGCTAATCGTTCATGTTCGTTTGAAGACTCGTCGTATTCGTTTGAAAAGTAAACATAAACTAAACCTTGTGATCCCAAATTTAATGAAAATTATCTGTCACATTTAATAATCATACTAATTAAACTATGACCATTTTTTATAGATTTAAACGCCTTCTGATTAATTATTTAATTTTTATGATGATGCTGTTAAAGTGGGTCGTTTTTAAATGATGCCCACAAAATTTGATTTTTTGAACCTCCACATTTTAAAAAGTTTGTACTATAATACAGTTCTAACCCATCGCTCCCTCAGCTGAAAGTTGGACATCAGTTGAAATGATTCCTAAGAATTTTGATAATTTATGTGCGTCGACATTTTAGACAGCAGTGATTATCAGTGAACTTTAAAGTTAACTCATCGTCTGATCTATGAAGTGTCTGATGAGTTTGGTAAATTTAATGACTTTCGCGTGGAACTTTAATCAAAAATTATGTCAAGAATTAAAATGCTTAGTCATTAAAACTGCTATCAATTGCCTTTATGAAACTGAATAATTTGTTGCAGCAGCTTATCTTACATATGCAAGACCCACATCCGAACTACATTTTAAACTTAATATCCTAATGTGTCTCAATTATTAATCAACCCTTATTTTCACAGATTTACCGGCTATAAAGAATGCGAGACACATTCAACATGGAACACTCGAGACATCCTGATAGCTATGATATCAAAAAACCCTTCATGAAGTTGAGTCGCATGACATTTCTTATGCTCCTTGTCATCTTCATTTGCAGTTTAATTGCCGTTGCACTTCTTGTCTATAATTTTGCTGTATGTCCGCAAGATGAAAGTGTAAGGACTTGTGGAAGTCAGTATCACAACCAATTTAATTCAAATGTATTGCCAACTAGTATACTACCTGTGGAAGATGGAGATGCTGAGCCAATAGTGTACAAAGATGTGAGATTACCGAGATCAATGAAGCCTATGGCTTATGATATAGTAATAGCACCTGACTTTAGTGGTGAAAATTTTACATTCAAAGGTGATGTCGCTGTTGAAATTCAAGTTGATCAAAGCTGCACAAATATTTCAATACATTCATGGACATTAAAAATCAATAGAAATCATACAAGCATTAAAGTCCTGAATGATAATGGGGAAGGAACTGATGAAGAAATTACTGTGAAAAATCAATATTTTATTGATGAAAAACAATTTCTAGTAATTGAGACAAATGAAGTGTTGGAAGCAGGTAAAAAGTATCTGATAAAATTGAAGTATGTCGGACAAATTATAGACAATTTGCAAGGATTTTATAAGTCTTCATACACAGTTGATAACCAAACTAAATGGCTGGCATCTACGCAGTTCCAAGCAACTGATGCAAGGAGAGCATTTCCATGGTAAGTTCACATTGAAAAGTTCAGCTGAAGACCTAAACGTTTTTTATCGCTAATAGTTTCGATGAACCAGAATTTAAAGCTACATTTAAAATAACTCTTGGACGTCCAAAATCGATGATAACTTTATCAAACATGCCGCTTGAAAAAACAGTTCAACAAATTGATCGAGTTCCAGCACCAACAAAAGACTATGTTTTTGATATTTACCAAGAATCTGTGAAAATGTCAACATACTTGGTGGCTTTTGTCGTTTGTGACTTTAAAAATAATTCTGATGGAAATGTAGGAGTTTGGGCACGAGCTGATGCAGTTCAGTCAACGGATTATGCTTTGTCGATTGCTCCCAAAATTTTGAAGTTCTTGGAAGGTTTCTTTGGGGTGAAATATCCTTTACCAAAAACAGATTTGATCGCTATTCCTGATTTTGCATTTGGTGCTATGGTGAGTTAAAAATGTACAGCAAACTTTTTCGAGAGTCACATTTTGGTTGCATAATTTGCAGGAGAACTTCGGATTGATAACATTCCGTGAAACAGCCATGCTCTATGACGTAAGACACAAAAGAAAAAGTTTGATAATTTTTTACTAAGCAGTCATAAATTTTTCAGGAAGGAGTTTCAGCGATCGGTAAAAAAATGACAGTTGCAGCTGTTGTATCTCATGAGATTGCACATCAGTAAGATATGAAAGTTGATTTATTTTCATGAAGATGCAAACATTTTTATTGTATTTAATTCTAGGTGGTTCGGAAACTTAGTAACTCCTCACTGGTGGAGTGATTTGTGGCTAAATGAAGGTAAGGTTTATAATTCACAATTTCTTACCTTTCTTGCTAAACTTTTCAATTCGTCTATTAACACAGGTTTTGCCACTTTCATGGAACACATAATAGTCGATCACATTGAGCCAACGTGGAAATCTAAGGATCTTTTCGTCGTTAATGAGCTTCATCAAGTATTTTCTCTTGATGCCCTAATTTCATCGCATAAAATCTCGATTGAAGTCCAAAATCCCGATCAAATCAATGAAATATTTGACTCAATATCGTAAGTTATGATTAAGCCTCTCAGTAATTTACAAAATAATAATTTTTATCCCAGCTACTCAAAAGGTGCATCACTCATTCGTTCAATGGAAAATTTCCTTACTATGGATGTCTTCAAAAGAGGACTGTCCAATTACTTGAAAGAATTTTCTTTCCAAACTGCAACTCAAAATGATTTATGGCATGCTCTCACATTAGAAGCTGTTAGTTCTGGAGTTCTTAGTGCCAATATGTCAGTCAAGGAAATTATGGATGGATGGACATTACAAACTGGTCTTCCATTATTGACTGTAACTAGAAATTATGAAAATAATGAGATGAAATTGGAACAAAAAAGATTCATTTTGATTGAATCGAATTCTACGGAAGTGCTGAAATTAAATACTGAAATGGATCAATTGTGGTTCATTCCTATTTCATATACAACTAAACGTGAACTGGACTTTGAGAATACCAAGCCATCGTATTGGATGAAAGCTAAAAAATCGATTACAATCAATCAGGATATTGACAATACTGAATGGATAATTTTCAATCCACAAGTCGCTCACTATTATCGAGTCAACTATGATGCAGAAAATTGGAAGCTCATAACGAAGCATCTCAATGATCCACAACATTACAATGAAATTTCACAAGCAAATCGCGCTCAATTGATGGATGATGCAATGAACTTAGCACGTGCTGATATTCTCGATTACAGTGTTGCAATGGATTTGACAAAGTACTTAAAGCATGAAATTGATTATGTACCGTGGAAAACCGCAATCAGTAATTTATTCTACATTGACTCAATGCTCATTCGAATGCCAGATTATCACTTAATGAAGGTAAAGTCCCTAAGTGTCAAGTAATTTAATAAATTTTTACTTACAAAATGCATTTTAATCAAATTTCCAGCAATACTTTACAACGAGAATAGAAAACATTTACAATCAGTTAGGTTTTGAGGATCGTGGAGATATTTTACAGAAGATGAGTCGACATGAGATTTTAAGAGCTGCTTGCCATTTGGGGAATAGAGATTGTATTGCAAATTCAATCAGAGAGTATCATTTATGGAAAATGGAAGCTAATCCTGACATCAATAATCCGTGAGTAGCTGAACAGTATTAAAATTTACGAAAATTTCACATTTTGCTTCCTCAGAATTTCTCCAAATCTTAAACTAATTGTATACTGCACAGCCATAAGACATGGAGATCATGAAGACTGGGACTTTGCATGGGATAGATTCTTGAATACCTCAATGTCAAGCGAGAAGGAACTTTTGCTGCAAGCACTTGGATGTACTCGAGAACCCTGGTTACTAAGTCGCTATTTGGAAAGATCACTTGAAAATGAAGCAATCAGGAAACAAGATACATTTAGAGTATTTTCATCAGTCTCAAGTAACGTCTGGGGACAACCAATTGCATTTAACTTTATAAAAAATAATTGGAAGAGACTTAGACAACAGTAAGGATTTTAAAGCGAATATATTGGAACTTAATTCTAATTGCTGGTTAATTTCTTTTATTTAGCTTCGGACTTGGATCACCGATGAGCACATTAAATAGTCTGATAAAATTCGTCACTAAACGGATGACAGACCCTAATCAATTGGATGATTTAAAGCGATTCGATGATAAGGAATTGAAAGCAGGAAGATCATTGAAACAGGCAATTGAACAGGCTGAAGCAAATATTGCATGGCTAAATAAGAATCATAAAAAAATTGTTGATTGGCTTAAAGTTAATTTAGACTAGAAGATTAAGAAAGGGTTTAAATTTTAACAAACTATTAGTGTGTACTTACAAACAGAACAATTTTATTATGCCAAAAAAGGAATAGCTATATTGATGTTTACAGCAAAGCTCGTAGTCGACTTGAAAAAAATGAACTGGAGTTGACTTCGAGCTCTGTTTAAAGGAAATAAAAATTAAATTTACCAATTAAATCTGATTTTGCTATCAATTTGCTTCTCTGACTTAAGACCACTACAATTATTCAAAACATATTCAATCGTTCCTTTTTCTCATATTTTGTGATGTCTTCAGGCCAATCGAAGTACATGTGTCTCCTAAATTTGTCATAGAATGTCTTAACATCACAGTAATAAGTATGTCCACTTATTGGACAGTGTTTGAAGTTGCCAATGTCTTTAGTTACTTTATAAATAGCAATTGCTTTATCATCGGCAATAATTACTTTCCAAAACAGGTCAGGAATCTTAACAACAGGAAGCGGGTTTCCTTTAATGATGCTCTTTTTGGCATTAGCTAGCGAATGGAGAGTGCCCATCACAAAACCTCCAGTATAGACTGTCGCATCGAGGTCGTTTTCTTTTATATAAACTCGAACTGCAGCTTCAAGCGAGCCCCAAGTATTTTGATTAAAAGTTGCGTCCATTGGTGCCATATTAAAATAGATGCTTGTAGCTTTACGAAATAACGAAAAGTAATAATCAGCATTTGGAGCAAGATGTCCTTTATTTAAGTTACTAGGCTATCCGGAGGCGCCCGTGGCGCCTCTTATCAGGGTTAAAATTGGATTACTATTATGTAAATAACTGTAAGACGCAAATAACCATAATGTTTTTAAGGTCAATCCTACCACAAAACTTCACATGGCCTCACAAACTCCCTCAAACTCGGACCCCCTTAATCCCTCAAAAATTTTATAAATGGCTTCACAAAACTTCACAGGGCTTCACATACCCCCTCGAACTCGAACTCCCTTAATCCCACTAAAACTTTATAAATGGCTTCACAAACCTCCTCAAACTCGGACTTAATCCCACAAAAATTTTATAAATGTCTTCACAAACCCCCTCAAACTCGGACCCCCTTAATCCCACTAAATTTTTAATTCCCCCGAAACCCACAATGTCTCTTCACAAAGTTTCGCATGGCTTCACAAAACTTCACATGGCTTCACAAAATTTTATATGGCTTCATAAAATATACCTGACACTCCCCTTGCCCCCAATCCCCACCTGACACCCACTTTGTCACTCCCCAAACAACTGACACCAACCTTGTCAGCACCCCTTAAATCATTGGCTTCACGAAATATACCTGACACCCTCCTTGCCCTCAATCCCCACCTGACACCCACTTTGTCACTGTCCCACAACTGACACCAACCTTGTAAGCACCCCTCAAATCATTGGCTTCATACGGCTTCACAAAATATACCTGACACTCCCCTTACCCCCCCCCATCCCCCCAACCCACCTTGTCAGCACCCCTCACATCATTGGCTTCATAAAATATATCTGACACCCCCCTTGTCCCCAATCCCCACCTGACACCCACTTTGTCACTCCCCCCAGAACTGACACCAACCTTGTCAGCACCCCTTAAATCATTGGCTTCACAAAATATACCCGACACACCCCTTGCCCCCTTGCCCCCATCCCCACCTGACACCCACTTTGCCCCCCTTACCCACACTCCCCTTACCCCCCCAACCTTGTCACCCCCACCCCCCCACCCACCTTGTCAGCACCCCCCACATCATTGGCTTCATAAAATATACCTGACACCCCCCTTGCCCCCAATCCCCACCTGACACCCACTTTGTCACTCCCCAAACAACTGACACCAACCTTGTCAGCACCTCTCACATCATTGGCTTCATAAAATATATCTGACACCCCCCTTGCCCCCATCCCCACCTGACACCCACTTTGCCCCCCCCCCCCTCCCGCACACACACACACACACAACTGACACCCACCTTGTCAGCACCCCTCAAATCAATGGCTTCACACGGCTTATATAGCACAAAATATATCGACACCCACCTTTTCCCCACCCCCCACCTGACACCCACACCCACCTGACAACCACCTTGTCAACACTCCTTAAATTTTTGTCTTCACACGGCTTCACAAATGTCTTCACATTGCTTCCGTTCCAGAGTCAGTGAATCAGTGAGTTGGGCTTTTTATTACACGCTTTTTATTGAGTTGCTCTGTTGGTTTCTTTGTATGTCACGTTCAAATCTTGCAATCGATTTTTCGACCACTTCTATTGCTCCAATCGAGCTCAAATTTTGTATACACACGTATTCCCGGTGACAATACAATATTTTAACACTTTAGAACCACACAAATGCTTAATTATAGTACAATTTTAATAAAACTTTTTTATATGGGAAAAAAATCCAATGTCAATGATATAAAATTTTGATTTGTTTAAAATATTATACTTGAAATGCTCAAAAGTCATTTATATGATTCACTATAGTTTAATTAATATTACTAATTATTAATAATCAGAGGTCGAAGCCGACATGAGTTCGCTCCGGTTCGCTAAAAAACCGATTCAAATTTGAATAGAATTTTTTCTGCTGCCACTTGTGAACTTTAACATTCTATACAAATTTACCGGTTATCGAATCGGTTTTTTAGCGAACCGGAGCGAACTCATGTCGGCTTCGACCTCTGTTAATAATACTAATAATTGGAGAAGCTGAAGATTTTCTGGGAGGATGAAAAAATTGACAAGTAATTTTTTCATGAATATCCGTAAGTGAAAATTTGAATTTTCAAAAAAACCGTTAATCACAAGTCCGTTACGAATTAATGCAAAATAACTATCAATATGTGATGTGCATTTAGCACACATAATTTGAGCATAAACGTATGCTGTTTTAAATGTATTACAATATTTATAGCACTTCACCAATTTAATTAAATTGACTTCTATTTATTATCGGCTTAACGTAATTTTGCATAACATATGAATGACATTCATTGAATTTAAATTTGAAAAATCCGTTATAAATACGTTACATATAGATGTGATTTGCATCTTTATGTTAAGAATCCACACGTTATGTAATAGGAATGGTACGGATAAACACAAAATCTTTACGATTGATTTTTAATGTTCTTTACTCATGAATGTTTTAAAAAACACAGAAAACGCACATAATTGAAGTTCAGGACATTTTTTGGAAGAGTTTTATGTGTTTCCAGGTATGACTTAAATTATAAAAACGAATGAAAAATCCTGACAGTCGTTATTAATTACCCACTAAAAAATGGGAATATATTAAAAGTTGAACGAAACGAAGTGGAGTTGAATTTGAATTGTTGTGTTCAAAATTCGATTAAAAGATTGAGACTAAAAAGTAGCAAATAAAAAAACGTTAAAAAAACTTTTTAAAAAACACGCTTTTTTCCCGAAGACTAAAAAACAAATAACATTCTTTTCTTGAAGTTAAGTCTGTTGTTGAGAATAAAAACGAAGCGACCAAAAAAGGAGCAAATAAAAAAATGTTAAAAAAACTTTTTAAAAAACACGCTTTTATCAAAAAGACTAAAAATCAAAAAGTTCAAAATAAAATAAGGTCACACTTTTAGCGAATCAGGATTTTAAAAATTTTCTTGTGACAACTAGAAATGTAACATAAATTTTTTTCAAAATATTGTGATTAAGTCCAAGAACACAATGACTCGAAAAGCGTGGGGCTTTGAGATTTGACGCTTCTCTTACTTAGGAACTTAGTTGAACTAAGAAATGCATCCTTAAATTACGCCCCACGCTTAAAGAGTCATTGTGTTCTTGGACTTAATCACAATATTTTGAAAAAAATTTATGTTACATTTCTAGTTGTCACAAGAAAATTTTTAAAATCCTGATTCGCTAAAAGTGTGACCTTATTTTATTTTGAACTTTTTGATTTTTAGTCTTTTTGATAAAAGCGTGTTTTTTAAAAAGTTTTTTTATATATTAGATTGATTATCATTTTACTTGCCATTTCCACAACTTCTTATTGACCGAATTAAAACTTAATGCCAGATTAATGCTAAAAGTTTTTACTTTTATACAAATTTGCGTCTAGTAAGTTAAAACTAGAAGGTGGAAATGTTTTCAAAGCATCGTCTGAAAAATTATTCATCTTTTGGAATTTCCAAGAAATTTTTCTTATCAATGATCCTTATAACTTTAATGATCTTTACCTACGTATTAAATACTGTCTCAAAATGAGCGCTTACAGTATAATTTCATTCACACTAAGCTATGCTAGAAAGTAATAAAAGAGACAGCTACAACTTCAAATACAGCAATACACTCACTTTCATTTGTATAAAGCTGTATAGAACTTAATGAGTATAAATATTATTGTAAGGAATCACGTGGAGTTTACATTGTCAACAAAGAATATCAACCTTTAAACACTAATGCTTAATACAGCTTTAAAACCAGTCTTAATACAACCTCATTAGCTTCTTTGTGTTGCTATCAAGTATTAAAATGTTGAATGAATTAATTCCAGGTCGTAGACTAACGATTATACGAGTATAATCTTATCAAGTTTACAACAAATGAATCATTACTTTTACTGTCTAAGTCGGTAAGGGCAGAAAGGTTTTATAATCATACGAGCACTCGATTACTTGCCAAAAATAAGTGTACTAATTGACAAAATAAAACGTGATGGTGATAAGAATCCAATTGGAAAAATCATCAATTATAAAGCCAGCCATAAATTCTGATAAAATTTATTGTATATTATATTAAGTGTATTACTGTCTTAAGGCTCATTCGTTATTTTGCACTTCAATCAGACACATCTATCGAACCATGTTGGCTAAAGTGCTATTCTTACTTTTTATTATTCACTCTTCACATCAGGTAATTGAAGTTTTCGAAGAAGCTCTTGTGAAATTAAAATCTAATATATAAAAGCAGGTGCAGGTGGGGGGGGGTGGGGACAAGGTGGTGTCAGTTGTGAAGGGGGGCAAGGTGGGTGTCAGGTGGGGATTAGGGGCAAGGGGGGTGTCAGGTATATTTTGTGAAGCCAATGATTTGGGGAGTGCTGACAAGGTGGGTATCAGTTGAGGGGGGGGGGGGGTCCGAATTTGAGGGGGTTTGTGGGAAAAGTTTGGTGTCAGGAATATTTTGTGAAGCCATATAAAATTTTGTGAAGCCATGTGAAGTTTTGTGAAGCCATGCGAAGCTTTGTGAAAAGACATGGTGGGTTTCGGGGGAATTAAAGTTTTAGTGGGATTAAGGGGGTCCGAGTTTGAGGGGGTTTGTGAAGTCATTTATAAAATTTTTGTGGCATTAAGTCCGAGTTTGAGGAGGTTTGTGAAGCCATGTGAAGTTTTGTGAAGCCATTTATAAAATTTTTAATGGATTAAGGGGGTCCGAGTTTGAGAGGGTTGTGAGGCCATGTGAAGTTTTGTGGTAGGATTGACCTTAAAAACATTATGGTTATTTGCGTCTTACAGTTATTTACATAATAGTAATCAAATTTTACCACTGATAAGAGGCGCCACGGGCGCCTCCGGATAGCCTAGTTTATAAGAAACAATTTCTTCTATTCTACAGTCATCATTGCCATCTGATCCAACTTACAAAGCAGCCGTTGTTGAATTTAATTTTGGATTAGTTCAAGAATTAAATGCAGCAGATCGAACGAAAGCCAATTTGGACAAGTATATAAAACTTATGGAAGAGCCTGAAAATGATATCGACATAATCATATTTCCAGAAATGACATTCAATAGGATGGAAACAGCAGCAGAAATTCCAGAACCATCTGAGAAAGTAGCACCATGTGACAGCGATAAATATACAGAGGACAACGTTGCTAAGAAAATGTCATGTTCAGCTAAGCAGTATGGACGTTATGTGGTTGCAAATATGATAACAAAAGCAAAATGCCCTGATGCTGAAATGACTGAAAATGTTGATCCAAGAGATTGTAAGAAGCGAGAAGATGGTTTTAGCTATTATAATACAAATGTAGTCTTTGATCGGGATGGTGTTGTCATTTCGCGTTATCGCAAGTTTAATTTGTTTGGTGAAGAAGTAGATAAGCCGTTTAAACCACAAATGGCAACATTTACAACTGATTTTGGTGTTAAATTTGGGCACTTCATATGTTTCGATTTAATGTTTAGATATCCGGCCGTTGAACTCATTCGTAACCATAACGTAACAGACATCATTTTCCCAACAATGTGGTTCTCAGAAGCTCCATTCTTGACAGCTGTTCAGGCTCAACAAAATTGGGCACATTCTCATAATGTAAATTTATTGGCATCTGGTGCAAACTTTCCAGCAATTGGATCAACAGGAACTGGCATTTATGGTGGTAATAAAGGAGCATATGCGATGGAAATGGGAGGTGATAATAAAACTTCGGTTCTTGTCGCAACTGTTTATAAGAAAATTAAGGAAAATGAGGATGTGACTATTGAGCATAAGATCACTAAGTACACGAAGAATGAAATGAAAACATTGAAGCTTAAAAGAGATCAACTGGATGTTTATGATATGACATTTTTAAATGATACTGATGGAATTCACTCGAATGAGATGAAAGTCTGTCATGGAACTACATGCTGTAATATAAAAGTTAATTATACGATTCAAAACTCAGCAACAAGGAAGCACTATCAATATGTTATGGCATTTAATCACGGCCAAAGAACATTCGATGGATTTGCGAATGGTGGAATCGTGGCTTGTTCGATTCTAGCTTGTAGTAACAACACAAAAGCTGGATGTGGAGTAAGAGATGAAAATTTAGAGAATATCCATCAATGGACGAGTGTTGAAATTGATGGAAAATTCCCAACTAAAGATGAACAATTTTTATACATGCCAACATCACTAGACACATCCATTCTTCCTTTGCAACCTGAACAATTCGAATATATCGTCGCGCACAACGAAAATGAAGATGTAATTGCTATAAAGTTGAATGGAAATGCTGAAAACTTATTAGCGTTTGGAATTTATGGACGAGATTTTAATTTAGACGTTAATGGTGCATCAGGAATTACAGTTTCTATATCTTTAATTTTATTTGCCTTTCTAGCAATCTTTAAATTGATGTAAAATTATTCTATCCTCCTTCATTTCTTTTTTTTTGACACAATAAAAATTCATCACAAGTTTTTACCATGAAAACTTATCAAATATCGGGATCGGCACTGATTGAATCTTCTTGTCGTCATGCTTATGTAATAATTTAAACACTCCAGTTCCAATGGATGCAGGCATTCCTAATATAATTCTTTCTGAGACGCCATCAATTGAATCGGTTTGTCCATAGTATGCAGCATCAAACAAATGATCAGCTGTCTTTTCAAACTGTTGGATAGAATAAAAATTAGTGTTAAAATGTCTTTAGAATTATTAATAAAAGTGAACTTACCGATGCCAAATTAAAGACTGATTCTCTCATTTTAGCCAATCCATGTCTAGTGATACCTAAAACATCGCCACGACTTGTCATTTGACTTGCAAGCAACATAATATGACGATAATCAACACTCATTCCGTGACCTTCCATAACTTCTGTGATTTCACGAATAATTGTAGTTCGAGCAGCTTCAATTCCGAGTGTATTAAAAACTTCCCAGATATTATTGCTTGTTGTTTTACTCCCAACAACTCCATATGTAGCCATAACATCTCTCAATGCAGCACCTTCAATGCACAATTTATAAAATCCTTCTTTATCATCAATAGCAATAACAGCACGAGAAACACTCGGAATTCCAGCAATAACAATTTTCGGAACTAAGTTTGTCAATCTTTGTAGCTCAACATTCATCATATTTCCATATTTGGCAGTATCAGGTCGAATAATAAGCAGCGAAGGCCCATGAATCTCAACTTGATTAGGTTTAATTTTAAGTTTAGAGATACAAATTGAGTACTTGATCGTGTCAATGTTTACTTCCAGTCCTAATACACGAATTCTGTCTAAATCAAGCTTAATCAGTAAGAAGCATTCATCATTGCGATAAACTTCTTCCAAAAATGATGAAACTTCACCTAAAGTTGTCTTTTCAATCCTTGCCTTTACTTTTCTAGCTACTTCCATTGATTTATTATCTTCAATGTGTGCAATAATGACTGGAGTTGAAATTTGTTTCGTAGCATTAATAATTTCTACAACTCGGGGTACGCCTTGTGTAATGTTCATAGAAGCAACACCAGCAAAATGGAAAGTCTTTAGAGTCATTTGAGTTCCTGGTTCTCCAATTGATTGAGCACCTAAAGCACCAACAGCAGTTCCTGGCTCAATTGTAGATCGATTGAATTTTTCATTTACAATATTCATAAATTGCTCAATTTGTCCTTCAGTTATCCTATTTATTTCATCAGCAACCTTTCCACAATGTCCATATTTAGTCTCAACCTTTTCAATTTTCTTTGCTACTTTATCCATGTAATTCATACATTCTAATTTAAAGTCATTTCTACTACTTGAATATTCTGATCTCGCTAAAATCTCTTCAGCTGTTGCCCTAATATCCTTTGAACTAATTTTAACTTGCTCTCGATGCGGATATGTTGCTTGTACATGCATTAATTGACGATCCAAATCAACTGGACGGTTTTTTGTCTCCATGCAAGCTGGATCAAGTCCATCACCACCATATAAAAACTCTACAACTTCACTTATTGCATTTCTAACTGTCCCATCATATTGAACTACAAGATCTTCAAGACATTTGACCAAACGTCTCTGTAAGTAACCAGTTTCAGCCGTTTTTACAGCTGTATCTACGAGACCCTCACGACCAGCCATTGTGTGAAAATAAAATTCTGTTGGTGTTAATCCAGAATAGAAGGAATTTTGGACAAAACCTTTAGCTGTTGGAATTTTTGAGAATTTTTCGAAATATGGCAATGCACGATCCTCAAAGCCATTTGGAACTCTTTTGCCATTAATAGCTTGTTGACCTACACAAGCAATCATTTGAGAAATATTAATGTTTGAACCTTTAGAACCTGACTGTGCCATAATTAAAGCACTATTTGTTGGATGTAATTCACGAAAACAAACTTTTGCAGCCAAGTCACGAATTGTTGACAATTCCTTAAGCATCATTGATTCTAATGTCTGTTCAGGCGAGCAACCTGGAGTACATTGAAGTGTTCCTTTTTTCATCTCGAGAATATATTCATCACATCGAGCATATCCTTTATCAAGTAAATCCTGTTTATCTTCCAACAATCGCTGACTAGGTGTTACATCTCCGATTCCAAATGAAAAGCCACGATTCATCATATAATATGAAGCCATTCTTGCTAATCGCCACATTGATTTTGTTGCTTCATTTTCGCCAAAATCTCTTAATATTGCATAAAAAACACAAATCTTAGTTCCTGATCCAAGTGTACTTTTATCCATTGATCCACAAATTAATTGAGAATTTCTAATTATTACAAAGGAATCACGAATACACATGTCATTATTGCCTGTATAATTCTTTCCTTTTGTTGCTAAATTTACAATGACTGGATAATTCTTATTTGGACGTAAAATTAAACTGAATATTTGTTTTCCTGTCCAGAGTCTTCGAGGTTTTAAAATTGCAGGTGGCGGAAGATCAATTGTTAAATCTGAATCTGGTCCTGTAATCATACTCGTTGCAAGCTGCATTGCTTTTTCCTTTGTGTAAAATTCATCACGTTGAGTGATCAAGTAACCACCCGTAATGAAATCTTGAGTTGCAGCAATTAGCAATTCTCCATTACGCGGTGTTACAAGATTCGAACGATTTCCCATTAAAACTAAAGCTTCTGCTCTGGCTTCTTCAGTTTGAGGCAAATGTAAATTCATTTCGTCACCATCAAAATCAGCATTGTAAGCTATAAAGAATAAGTTAAAATGAGATGAGTCAAGAGTATTAATCCAAATTTGAGCACAAACTTACGTGTACAGACGCACTCATTGAATCTAAATGTCCTTTGTGGCTGAACTTTTGCTTGATGACACATTATACTAAGTTTATGCAAACTTGGCTGTCGATTGAACAAAACGATATCGCCGTCTATCAAGTGTCTATAAATATTAACAAGCTCGTTATTAAGCATTCATTGCAATTCAGAGTGACTACTCACCTCTCAACGATATCTCCATATTTCAATTCTTGAGCCAATTTATCACGATTTCCATAAGCCAAGTATTTCTTATTGACAGCTCCTTTTTGTAGGACATAATTAGCACCAGGATGAATATCAGTTCCATTACGAATCATTTGACGTAGCATTTGAATATTTGCGGAATTAACTCGTTCGGGAAATGTGAGAATTTTAGCAATTCTATCAGGAACACCAACTTGATGAATCATAAGATTTGGATCTGGAGAAATGACTGTACGTGCTGAAAAGTCAACACGCTTTCCTGACAAATTTCCTCTAAAACGACCTTGTTTTCCTTTTAATCGCTGAACGATTCCTCTTGTTGATTTATTTGGCATCATATTTAACGGAACTCCAGAAACTTCACTGTTGAAATACAGAGCCACATGAAGCTGCAGATAATCCCAATCTTCTTGAATAATTTCCATTTTACCACTAGTGTTCATGTGCTTAGATATATAATCGTTAATTAACAAAATTTCACTTTGCTTCATTGTCAAATCATCTTCTGTTGTTCCCGATTTAATTTCAGATGCTACAGATGGACGAATGCAAGCTGGAGGGACATAAATTCTTGTAATGATTAGATTTGCTGGATCAGAGCTATCAGAAGTCATTCCAAGCAATGGAATATCACATTTCGGGATGTTTTTGAATAAGTGCAAAACTTCTACTGGATTCAATTCCTGAATTAGTGATGATGGCCCAATACTTTGTGACAATTCCTTATTACTTTCAGTTGCTTGAACAAGTTCATCTAATGCTGCTGTTAATAATAGATCTGTCTTTTTCTTGCCTTTAAATGGCTCATGCACGATTTTCATTAACCCAGGACCTTTCTTTACTGATCCATTTGCAAATTCACAATACGGACACTTGTTACTCTTTTTAGCTTTTTTGAGAATCTAAAAATATGAATAAAATATCCAGTAAGCAAAATTATAATCAATATGAAGGACAAAATCTTACCTGTTGATGAATGGCTTTTTTTGCTAAGTATGATAAATTTGGATTCATTAATTTCTTGCTGAAAACTTTTCCATCCTCAGGCTTCAGCATAACTCGGGCGCATTTTTTACAAATAGTTTGCAAGATAGTGACAGTGACTCGAAAATGTCCAACATGAAAAACCGGCAATGCAAGATCCAGATAACCGAAATGTCCAATGCATTCATTTAGTCCCTGATTACAAGTCGCACAAATAGACCCTTTTTGGCTAACACCAAGCCTAGGATCTAAAACACCGTTTTCAACAGGTGTCCTCTTGTTATCTTGGTTGTAAAGAGTCTTCATTTTTACTTGTAAGTGACTGCATTGCTGGATTTGTTGTGGACTATCTATACTGAATGATACATGCGATATTTTCTTGATAACATCAGCTTCTCTGAACTGTTCCTTAGGCATCTTGGCCTAGACTATTAATTTAACTTGTTTTATGTCCACTAATTTGCTGATTTTCTTATTAAATGATTAGATTTCAATTTCTTTGCAATAAATGTGGATTTAGTTTGTTTACTACCAATCAAATGAAGTTGCACCCCTTTTTCAAAAATTTGAAAGTTTTTTTACCGTTATTTTTTTCTTTGAAAAGCTTTTTACGGATTTAGCAACAATACGTTAATAAAATCATCAGCTTATTGATTCACATTTTGATGCTTATTAAATACTTATCGCTGCGTCAAAAATGCGCTGAAGTCCCTCGATAAATAACACGAAAGCTTTTGCAATAAAATACGAGTCAATAAGCAAATAGCTCCAAAAGTTTGTGTTTAGCACAGCTGGCATGCTGTATTTTACATTTTTTAATCTGGATTTACCACATCGTTAATCTGGAATATAATAGGGCCTCGACGTTTTTTTAAGGATTTTCCTTAACAGAAAAAAATAATTTGAATTTTTCACCAACACTATCATACAAAACATCAAAAATTTCAAGGGTCAGACACTCCAACAGAATTGTAAAGATTGTACAATTCTTCACAATCCATATGGAAGAATTGTAAATTGTACAATCCTTACAATCCTTACAATCTTTATATGAGAAGGATTGTAGGGATTGTAATCCGTACAATCCTTATATGGAAAGGATTGTAGAAATTGTAATTCTTACAATCCTTTCCATATAAAGATTGTAAGGATGAAATAAATGTATGGAACATTTAAAAATGTTTTTCATTGGTTATTAGAGAAGAAATATTAATTTAATATTAATGATTTATTTGTTTGAATTTAAAGAACGAAATAAGCTTGATATATCAATTCTGTTCGTTGTAAAACTACGCAGATGGTCACCCTAAACCAGGGTGATTTAAATCAAAAATCAAATTCAAAATCTTTTTGAAATGATTTTAAAAAAGGATTTTGATTTAAATCATTTTTTCAAAGGGATTTTATTTTTGGATCTTGATTTAAATCTCTTGCATGAAAGATTTTATTGGGATTTTAAAATCCCTGCGTGTAAGATTTTTGTATTCAATTTCTCAAATTATTTTTCAAATCAACAGTTTTCAGTTGCAGTTCCTATTAAGGAAGAATGCAGTTGATCCTTTTTTGGCCTGAATCTTGCAACTGGATCTTTTAGATCCAAATAATTTTTAATTAATGGTTACAGCCAGAGATCGAAGCCGATTTTTTCGGCTTAACTCAATTTTTGATTTTTTTGATAGAAAAAAGCCATTTGACACCCATTTCAAGTATTTAAATTGAACTTTACATGCTTTACTATGATTCTGTGTAATATTTTGTCAGCATGTAGCTATAGTGAGCTCAGAATTTCAATTTAGCCGATTTTAAGCCGATCGGCTTAAATTTCGGCTTAACATTCTTTAACTTGAAATTCTGAGCTTACTATAGCTACATGCCGACAAAATATTACACAGAATCATAGTAAAGCATGCATCAATTTTGCATCAATTTTGTCACTTTTTTCTTCGAGGGTTTATCCAAATGGATTGAAACTTTGCAAAAATATTTTGGTGCTTAAAACAAATACAAATAAAACATTCTAAAATTTTTTTGAGCAAAGAACCAAGTAGAAAATACATTTTCAATTTTGGACTAGGGGCGACCCTAGTCAAAATCAACTTTCTCACTTTTTTCTTCGAGGGTTTATACAAATGGATTGAAACTTTGCAAAAATATTTTGGTGCTTAAAAAAAATACAAATAAAACATTCTAAAATTTTTTTGAGCAAAGAACCAAGTAGAAAATACATTTTCAATTTTGGACTAGGGGCGACCCTAGTCAAAATCAACTTTCTCACTTTTTTCTTCGAGGGTTTATACAAATGGATTGAAACTTTGCAAAAATATTTTGGTGCTTAAAACAAATACAAATAAAACATTCTAAAATTTTTTTGAGCAAAGAACCAAGTAGAAAATACATTTTCAATTTTGGACTAGGGGCGACCCTAGTCAAAATCAACTTTCTCACTTTTTTCTTCGAGGGTTTATACAAATGGATTGAAACTTTGCAAAAATATTTTGGTGCTTAAAACAAATACAAATAAAACATTCTAAAATTTTTTTGAGCAAAGAACCAAGTAGAAAATACATTTTCAATTTTGGACTAGGGGCGACCCTAGTCAAAATCAATTTTGTCACTTTTTTCTTCGAGAGTTTATCTAAATGGATTGAAACTTTGCATAAATGTTCTAGTGCTTAAAACAAATACAAATAAAACATCCTTAAGTTTTTTTGAGCAAAGAACCAAGTAGAAAATACATTTTCAATTTTGGACTAGAGGCGACCCTAGTCAAAATCAATTTTGTCACTTTTTTCTTTGAGGGTTTATCCAAATGGATTAAAACTTTGCATAAATGTTCTAGTGCTTAAAAATAAAACGTCCTAAAATTTTTTTGAGCAAAGAACCAAGTAGAAAATACATTTTCAATTTTGGACTAGGGGCGACCCTAGTCAAAATCCATTTTCTCACTTTTTTCTTTGAGGGTTTATACAAATGGATTGAAACTTTGCAATAATATTTTGGTGCTTAAAAAAAAATACAAATAAAACATTCTAAAATTTTTTTGAGCAAAGAGCCAAGTAGGAAATACATTTTCAATTTTGGACTAGAGGCGACCCTAGTCAAAATCAATTTTGTCACTTTTTTCTTTGAGGGTTTATCCAAATGGATTAAAACTTTGCATAAATGTTCTAGTGCTTAAAAATAAAACGTCCTAAAATTTTTTTGAGCAAAGAACCAAGTAGAAAATACATTTTCAATTTTGGACTAGGGGCGACCCTAGTCAAAATCAATTTTCTCACTTTTTTCTTCGAAGGTTTATACAAATGGATTGAAACTTTGCATAAATATTCTAATGCTTAAAACAAATACAAATAAAACATCCTAAAATTTATTTTGAGCAAAGAACCAAGGAGGAAATACATTTTCAATTATGAACTTGGGACAGGTCTAGTCAAAATCTAGTTTTTCACTTTTTTTCTTCGAAGGTTTATCCAATTACAGTGAAACTTTGTGTGAGTAAACTAATATTTATACAAAACAGTTTTAAATATCTAAAGCAAGAAATGTATTCTATAAGTCGTCAGACCCAAATTTTATGAATTTGGTTGTACATTCAAAAACAGGTGACTTAAAATTTTGTCCAAAAAAATGATTTTTATTAATTCAAAAATGTGTGACCTGAGGAATAGAATGCTTATACAAAGTTTTACTGTATTTGGATTTATCCTCGAAGAAAAAAAGTGAAAAACTAGATTTTGACTGGACCTGTCCCAAGTTCATAATTGAAAATGTATTTCCTACTTGGTTCTTTGCTCAAAAAAATTTTAGGATGTTTTATTTGTATTTGTTTTAAACACTAGAATATTTATGCAAAGTTTCAATCCATTTGGATAAACTCTCGAAGAAAAAAGTGACAAAATTGATTTTGACTAGGGTCGCCCCTAGTCCAAAATTGAAAATGTATTTCCTGTAATGTAAAATTTTTTTCATCCAAAGTTTAATTTAAAATAAAAATAAAAAAAATCACAGTGAACTTTTAATTTGAAAAATTCGTAAGGAAGGAAAGTTTTTTGCTTTTTCTGAAGCAACGGCTGTTCCTACCTTGCCTAAAAACAATACAGCTCTTTTATAGAGCAGCACGGATCAAATGTAAAAAACTAGAAGTCTCTACAATGTCTCGTTATTGAGATTTCTTGCTGATTAATTTGCTTGTTTGCATGTTTGCTTGCTTACAGAAAGCATGTTTTGCGATTTTCTCAGCAATGCCGCAGCCAATTTGAAATCTGTTTTTTGCAAAAGATGAGAAATTCAAGGCACAAACTTTTACCATATCCTCACAAAATTCAAAAAACTGATTTTTCAATCTGAACAAAACCAATAGATTTACACGTGAAAACGGTGTGAATATAATAAACAATAATGAAGATGTAGCAAAATTCCCAAAAATTGTACGTGAGTGACGCTCAGTTAAAGTGATTTTTTCGAGTAACTGTAAACTTTCATGAAGTGAATTGTACAACAATATATGGGGATTTTAATTCCCTTTTCAAAAAAGGGAACGTTCATAATTCAAGTTTTTTCGTGAACTTTTTTTAAAAGACAGACCACAGTTAGAACGTTACATTCTTCTTGACACCCCCCCCCCCCCCCTATGTTACATTTTGTTACAATTTTTCAAACCCCCCTCCCCCCTAAAATGCGAACGTAATAAGTTACTGAAAACTTAATGAAAAGCTCAAAAAAGTCAATTAAAAAAAATCCATCGAATTTAATACATTTTTATTTTTGTAATAATAATACATAATAATAATTAATTTACATTTCCTAAAAGTGCCTTAAATAAATAGTTTAAGCCGCTATTTATCAATTGTTTTCATGAGAAACTTAAAATCAATTGCTAAAAATAGATTTATATAAACTTTTATGTACAAGTTCTTACAGTGCAAAGATGAAATAAATTACTTAATTAAATTATTCATTTAATCTTTTTTATTTTCACTTTGATTCTCTTTGCAAAATTAAAAGATTTTTTTTTTGTTTTTTTTTATATCACCCAATTTGAACTTTTTGCTTCCTGATTGTTACTGATTCGATCCGAATATGATTTTATTTCACTCTCTTTGATTTCCTCTTTTCGGATGTGTCGGTAGTACTTTTTTTTTGTTTTTCTTTTATTCTGAATAATTTTTATTTAAATAGATTTTTGATTTCGATAATTTTACACTGATTCTGCTAGTTACACATTATTGATATTTCTTATACCATTTTTCTGAATTAAAAAGAGACATTGAAATAATGATTTTCTCATTCCTTATCTCAATTATGATTAATATTATTATAATGCATTTTAATCTTAATGAATTTGGGGTGCTTCACTTATTAAGGGTTGAAAAACAGTTTATTGAACTCAAAAATTGGAATACAAAATCAATCCTGCATCTCAATTTGATAGCTCAATAAGTGAAAAACCCCGTTGGCTATAAATATAATCGCAATCTCGGATGTTTAAAATCAAACTTTGATAAATTCTTTTTAAAAATCTTTTGCAAAGGATTCATTAAAAGCGTGCTGAATATTCATGAAATGCCGTCCGAGATTAAAACATATTTATCCAATCATATCCAATAAAATTAATGTATTTGATGCATTAGCAGAAAGTTTTTAAAAAGCACTGTAATATGTATTATCACACCGAATATTTTTGTTTATTTCAATATCCTTTTTTTTGCAACTACTCATTTTTTAAACATTTAACTTAGCTTTGTATATTATTATTTGAAATGGACCTATCTGTTCTCTTTTACATCTCTTCCTTTGAAAGTTTGACATTTTTAAGCATTTTGCAAATTAAAGACATTTATTGTTGCTACTTTGGATGAATTGTTTGAATCTGCATATGACTTGAAGAGTTGTTGAAATTTACTAATCCAAAATTTAAGATAAAACTAGATGTCAGCAGTTTAATCACTCGATTATGATCTTAAACATTATTTATCTCGAATTTTACAACAATTTTGAGTATTTTTAAAAAATATCTAGGAACTCTGTTCAATAAGTACGCCAAAACCTAAATTTAAATTATGACTTTTCAGTCTCAGTTTTTCGAGAAAACAATTTTTAAGGATTAGATTTTAGCAAGATTCCAAAACAACAGCTTTTAAAATTCGTTGTGGTAAATTAGAAAATATTAAGGAACCAAAAATGATTTAATTCCAGAAACTTAATGGAGCATAAAAATTCAAATTTAATAAATTCGATGACAGATTGATATTTTGCAGAAAATAATGCACATCCAACCCCTGTCAACTGTGACTTATTTGTTTGCCTTATCCATCAACTAGAAAAATTCAGCAAATTATGACAGAAATAAATATTTATTGGCGCGATGTGTGTGGTTGTCTGAGTTTTAAAAAAATAATTTTTTATCATATTTTTCTTCCATTTCTTTTGTGTGACTGATTTTAATCACCCACATTGCATGATAAATGAATAAAATATTCTCTGGTTTTTAATTATATACACAAAAGAAGTATTTTTGTTGTAGAAAATGTCAATCATTCAATATGCATGCTTTTATACATAAAATAATTAAATCACTAATGCCATCCATCTATTGTCTTCATTGTAAAAATCTATCCCATAACACTTTTTCATATCTTTCAACTTTGTCCACAGAAACACTAATTATCCAATTACGATATTTTTCAATTTCTGATCTCATAAACTGCATTAATAAATTGAAAGATATTTCATTTTTGCCATAATTACTAATAAAATATTTTTTAAATTATTGTTAAACATATTTTGTTGTTTTTCTTCTTTTTCTTATCCCTTGTATTGTTTATAAAAAGCATCTTCATCCTTTCCAATTTTTTCTTCTTCTTAAAACCGTGAATAAATTCAGACTATAGATACATTATGTTTAGTTCTTTCCAGCTTCACTTGTTGGACTCCCATTTCCATTGTGATTTACGACAAGCATTGGCTTTACTGTTGTTGCGCTCAGATATTGTTGTGCTGTTGGCTGCTGATGAAGCATCTGGCGATGTAAAAAAAATAATATTTTAAAATTCAGGAATAATTTTGATTGCTGCATTGAAATTTCAAGTGTTGAACGTAGACAGAGTAAAAACTTTTTATCTTCTATTTTGTCACTACTAGTCACTTCCTCTTACTAGTCAATAATTCATAGCCTAGCTTCAACCTGTTAAATGGGACTTAAACCATTTTTGCCCTAAAATATTGACTTATTGGAATTCCACCATGAATAATTCGTCAACGACCCCTAATCTGTATTGATCGATTACAGCTGATTGTAGGTTTATGCCCACAATAATCAAAAAAAAAACTTTTATCAAAAACAGCATAAGCAATTATTTTAAATAAAGTCAATATTACTTTAAGAGTACAACGTGGCTTTTTCATGGAAATTAAATGTTTACATGCGGAAGAAGAGTTTGCATCCAACAAGAAGTGTACATTATCAAAATTCAATTAAAGGCATAGAAATAATTAAATTTTCACTTTCAATGCAGCATGAACATTATTAAATATTTTTGCAATTACTGTATTTCTCTCACCTTTCCAGCATATTGAGAAGATGATGTAATGATGTGTGTCATTGTCGTATTATTTTGTGGTTGAGTTACAACTAAAGCTGGTGTTGATTGAACAACATGGACGCGACTAGAGTTATTTGTTTCTATTTATAGAAATAAAGGATTAAAGTTTAAGCCTTAAATTAATGACCATGATGTGTCAAGTTTATAAATTGAATTTAATTATATAATACCTTTAACGATTAATTTCCCCTGATTTCTATAAATGGCACCATTAGATGTTGTACTATTCGATGGTAAGAGATTTAATTCAGCACCGCCAGGCGCTAACCGATGATTTGTACCACCGTTAGTGTGTTGGGTGAGTGTTGGAATGCTAATGGTATTGATATTTGTTGTTGACGTTCCATTTCCATTTAATAATAATTTCTGCAAATTTCCCGGTTGTGAATTTTGATGGGTAGGCCGATGCTGTTGCTGTATGGTTGATTGTTGTCCATTAACTGCATTATTAAGAACAAAAAAGCAGAATTTTTTTAATAAGATACATTACATAGCTATTAAATCTATAGCGTTATTACTTTGCGGACTTAATTCGATTGTTGTAAGACCATTTGGTTGATTAATTACTTTGAAACCTTGCGGTGAGGTGAGAAGTTGAATTGTAGGACTTACGACAAGACTGCTTCCTCCAACGACCTAAATAATAACAAATAAGATTATCAGATGTGAATTTTTGTGGCTTGAGCTGTTGTTCATACCTGCTGAAGTGTAAGTTGACCGGAATGTATCATTTTATTATCTTTATCTACAGGTGCAAGAATCGCACTTCCATTTATAAGCTTTATCAGTTTCGTTGGAGGATCATTTTGATCGATTTTTGAATTTAACGAATTATTGGTTAGTTGAGTTGGTGTAATGCAGGCTGGAACTGAAGGAAGATTTGTTATGATAGGAGATGATGATTTAGTTCCTTTCGTCTCTTTACTGTAATTAAAATAAACGAGGTTTGATTAGTTGATAAACTGAACTTGTACTCCCAAGAAGTGAAAATAAGCTCTTTCATTGAAAATTAAGGATAGATGATAGGAAAGCATAAAGAAATTAAAAGATTAATTCACCTAAAAACCCACCTGTTGTAAGTTTTGAACCCATTTTTAAGACCATTTAGTGGTTGTGATATTGTCGAAATTGATGCATTTGCATTAAGATTCAATGGCATTGTCTGACAAACTGGACTATCATTTGTCTTCAAGCTTAATGTGGCGGGTATCGAACTGCCATTTCCAATCAGTGAAGTTGGAATTGAAGAGTTGATTAATGAAGATTTTGCAGAAATTTTTACAGGATTTATTGATAAGTTTGTTGGCGATGGTGCTTCATCTTTTGTTGTTAAAGAAAGTGGAGTTACTGAATTGATTGCTGGTGAGTTTACTAGTGTTGTAATTCGTGGTGGTGGTGATACTGCACTGCCATTAACGACATTGTTTGTAATATTTGTTGCCTATAAAGTATATTAAAGGATATTTTAATTAATTACAGCATTGAATTTGCATATAGAAAGCTTACAGAGGCATTAGAGGGTGAACTAGATGCATTTATTGTAGACAATGATGTTGAAGGATTATACAGCATACCGTTTTTGATCGATGATTCGGATTCTGTATAAAATGAAAAATAGACGGTTGTAAATGAATCTGCATAGCTGTAAACAATTTGATTAAATTCTCACCACTTCTCTCTGATTTCACAGCATTTATATCCGTTTGTTCTGGTAAGATTTTCGAGAAATCCACATCCCATTGTGCAAGTTCACGTTTCAAAAAGAGTATGCGATTTTGTGCAGCTATTTTCTCCTTGGCCAGCCTCTCCATTTCGTGCTCATACTCCCGTTCTTTTCGTTTAAGAAACTGTTGAGTGAAAAATGTAATTTATTTGCTTTGAAATTTACATAGTTCTTTTATGACAAATTACTTGAATATGTCTAATTGCTGCTCCTAAAATTGATAAATTTGATGTCTTTTTCTCATCGGCAGTGACAGGTAATTGCCTTTTGAGTGACTCAAAACACTCTTTCAGATGTGCACGTCGATTTTTCTCCAATTTATTATGTACCTCACGTGTTCCAGCACGAACGGTTGATGGACTTCTAAGAGCACTACTAAAAAGCAAAACGTAGTAAAGAGAATGTAAGGTAAATGGAGTCATAATAAGGCATGAATCTTTCAGCAATTTTATAAAGAAATTGAAGTTGATTCGTCAATAAAAAACTATTTTACCTGTTGCTATTCGAACTAATCGTTCTCCTCCTTCCAACTGATGATGATGACGATGATGATTGTGGCATCGGCAGTGCACAAAATGTTTGTGTTTGCAACGCTGGTATCCTTTGATCTAAGACCAATGTTGTGGGTGCTGTTATTGGTATGCTCTTAATATCCACCTCCATCTCATCGCCATTTGTTACACTTTGATTAAGACTAACATTACCAAGACTGGATGTCGTACTATTGCTAACATATCCACTTGATTCTGTACTTAAATTCAAGCTCGTCTGTGACTCATCAATATTATAAATTGTGATACTATTTGTTCCGTTTGATAATGTTGATAATGGAATTGAATTTCCTGTAGTTTTTGATAAATCAATAGACACTGATTGTGGATTAAAATTTACAGATGGACGTGAGATAACTACTAATGACGGTGTTGGAGACGAGACTGTTTCCACAGGTTTCAAGTCATCTGCAAAAAGAAATTTCAGTTTTAATTTTTTTTTTCATCTCGTGTGTCTGCATAGAAGCAGTAATTTAATAAGCTTGAGATATGTAGAAGAAAAAAATCAATAACGTGATGCATCAGCAATAATTTAAGAATTTCATTTACATAATTAATTCTGATTGAAAAGATTCAACGACAATTTATTCTGCAACTCATGACATTTTTTGATGCAATTCATGAAATCAAACGAATCTATTCAAACACACTTGCTTTGTCTGTTGATGAACTGTGCCTTTGGTATGTTAAGACACTTGTTATTTCGAAATGGCTTTTGACTCCTATCATTATTATCTTCCTTATGAGAATAATTAGTCGATAATTTTTAAATAACAACATGAATTTCGAACTTATCATGAATGATTAAGTCGGAACTTCAAAAGCTGCAAGAAAAGTTTCATCGATTTTCAAGACAGTAATGCATTTAACACAGGAATTTTATAGCATTTTATTATGAAAACTGTCTCAATAATTTTATTACGCAAACGAAATAAATAAAAAGTTTTAAGTAAAAAAAGCAACAACACCCCGATGAATCACAAAAGAGTAAACAAGAACGAACAAGATCTGAAAAAGTAAGGACAGTATGCAGTAAAATAGAACACAAAAAATGCATAAGAGCAGAAGAAGAAGGAAAACAAGAACTGAAAAGTCTTTTGTATCGCTTCATTTCGTCAAGCACTTTTAACGGTTGAAGTTGAATGCATTGCACCCCTAAAAATGTAGTCACTGTTCTAAAGGCAACAAAAATACAAAATTGCTATACTTCCAGCTCCCTTTGAAATTATTTATTTCCCCCTTTATTTGTGCAATCGTCACAAGGCAAGACATTTCCTATTTTAAAAAATATATGTGCGAAAAATAAGGAGGTTTCTGCAAAGAGCAAGCATGTAAGTGCCATTGAAATTTATCAATTTTTCTTCTTTTCCTTCTGCACAATTTTATTGAATGGGCTGCCTCGCCTGCAATTGTATTAGTGACAGAACCATCAGCAGCACGTTTAATTTCGTATTTATATTGGATTCTCTCACGGAATACCGGATAAAAAAAATCATTCAGAAAAATAAAAAATTCTCTCTCTCATACAACCGCATAACACATGTTATGCTGCTCACATACAGTCACAAATTCCTCTCATTGCTCTCTTTCATGTTCTTCTTATTATTGATGTTTATTTTTTTTTGTATGTTATTTAATTAAACAGGAATGTTGTTGTGAAAAAGTACACACAAAAAAGAATTCCGAAGGTATAAAGAAGAAGAGGCTCCATTGGCACAACATAAACACAAAATAATGGATGTTCTTAACTTTCAGTTTTAGTTCCAATGCTTCATAAAAACATTTTTTCAAACTATATAAAAAAGAAAACAAAAATTTCTTTTTACTAGCTCCTTTACCATGAGCAGCACATATACATAGCATTGAATAGCAATAACAACATTTTCCCCTACAAACTCATTTATATACAAGTGCATGAGGTTCTCGAAATAGCAAAAGTTATTATGTATCTGCGCTGTATTCAACAGTCATTTTCTAAAGGCAATCTCATAACACACAAACTATACCACGTGATAAGCCGGCACGCGGAAAACGTACTTCACCTCTGTGAATTTTTTCTTTCTACTTCTTTTTATTTCTTCTCTCTCGCTATAAAAGAATTTTTCTTGAATTTTATTTATGATGGATATATGTTAATAAATTAATATACTTATTTTTGCTACTGTTACTGAATAAATGAAAAGGATACTTTAAATGAGGCCAGCAAATGAATAGGAAACTTTAAATAAAGGTTTTATTTATTAAATCCGAAGGTTGAATAATTGGAATGCATTTTTTATCTGAGAAAAAGGAATCTAAAGGATTTATTTAATTAAAATGTGTAGGATCAACAAATGACGCAAAATAAAATATTAAATATCCAGAAGAAATTGTTTATAGAACATCAAGGTTAAATGACGTGTTGAATGCAAAATATTTTGACGGATTATCCAATAATCCATGAAAAAATGTTGGAGTCAATCTCGATAAGTTCAAATTAAAAATAGAGTGCATAAACTTGTAAAATAATGTAATTTTAAAGTGGAAGCTCAGTCTGTTACACAAGTAATTAACAGTTTAAATAAATATAAGGTAGGATGTCAGGCAGTAGAATATATAATATGAAGCAAAATGCTTTGTGCAAGCTTTAAGAAAATAATTATTTTTGTAAAAGTTTATCTAAGCAAGATTGTCAAGGATATTATAGAATTTTCTCAGCGTTATATCTAAAAACTTTATTCCAAAAGACGTAAGAGTGATAAAGCTTAATTAAAAAACTCATTTCACTGGGAAATCAAGTGCATCAGAATAATATTGATTTTAATAAAAATTCCGATGAAAAAACATTGCTCTAGTTATTAGATTTAATAGTTATTATTATTTTTGTTACGAAACACAGGAGTAAATTAATATTTTTCGCAAATAAATGCATATCAAATATCACTCACTCAATCATGATGATGATGATCATTCATTCAAAGCTTTAAACAACATCTCATCTTTAAAAATGTTATTCAATTGAAACGAGTAAAAATGTATGCATGAAACTATAAACAACAAACACAAGTAGGAATAAAAGCTATTTTGCACAAAATAAACTCCACCGTGTAAGAAGAAGAAGAGAAATAAAATTATTAAGCATGAGCAACAAAAAAAAAGCGTGTTAAAGCAAGAGGCAACGTGATACATTATGTAAAAATTCTTATTCTTTTCGAACGATATTTTTGCCATCATTTAAAATGGAAATAGTAATCGAATTAATGTTCTTTATACAACAATAATGCACAAAGAATGTAATACGCAAGTAAACTTTTACTTTACTCCCTCCTTTTTTCCTCATACACAGATTTTAATGTATGTAGCACATTGTGTAAGCATTTTAATGCTGCGAGAGACCTTACCTAATCATTAACGATAAAAAAAAATTCTTATGCATGAGCCACATGCTTGAAAATGTTTCAACGTCTTTTTTGTGTGGTAGGATTATATATAATTCATCCTTAATTTACGAAATCATTTCCCTGCCATAAGCTTTCAATCGTTTAAATTCATTATACAATAATATTGATTTATGTGTGGGAGATTTTTAAAATCTTATCAATTAAATTATTTATACCTGATTTCGAAGACATGTAATGCGTTTTAAGCCACTTCTTCTTAGGTGGTGCAAATGACACATTCATTGTACTTTCACGACTTCCTGGCGATATAGATTCTGAGTCGTAAAAACATCCATTAACTTTTCGATTTTCATCACGAAAGTTTATTTTGAAATCAAGCTTTTTGTTTCGATCTTGAAACTTGATACATGTTTTAGCTTTTTGATTAAAATCAGGTTCAATGGCATTCACATTACTGTCGTCATTTTGCGGCGTCTTATCATTTTCATATGAGTCTTCTGTTTCCTTTTTCATAGTCTGTTCAAAGTCGAGTTTGATATGTCGAGAAAATTCATCTCTCATAAGACACTGCTGCGGATGAGTATCAGATTTGGATTCTTCAGTCATTTTGGCATACTTATAATGATTGAGTGAGGTGTAAATGCTCTCCAAATAATTTTTATAAAAGTAATAATTTTGATGATTATGTTGTGAATGTTGGTTCAAATGACATGAATTTGTAGGCGGAGAATGCTGTAGTTCTAGCGATGTTGAATGAAATGGAATGTAGGAATTCAAAATCGGTATGTGACTTGAAATTTGACTTAATGGTAGATTTGCATGTTGATTTATGTAATTTGCCCAAGATTCAGTTAAATGACAACTGTTCATACCATCGCAAATACCATTATCAGTTAAGGATGTAACAAGATAAGAGGCAGTTGCTGTAAGATGACTGTGATTTGTGTAAATTGAAGTAGAATTTATAGATGACAAGGCATTGTTAGTTTCTCGAATTGCGCGAAAAGATAATTTCGTACGTAATGAAGCTTCATTGTAATAATTATTAAGAACTTGATTTGGTTTGTTCATGACTCGATGGAAAGGAGGTTTTTGTTTAATTCTCTTTCTTTTTTTTCTTATTATTAAATGTGTTTTAATTTCTGTTTATTTTTTCAATGTTGTAATAATTTTAACTATTATTATTGGACTGTTAATTTAATACTTTTTAAATTATTCATATTCCATGCTGAGAATATTACACTTTTAAATGGAAATATCTTTAATTTAGTTCAGTTTTAGGTTTATAATAAAATTTCCAATGCACTTGAAACTTTTATAAATTTGATTACAAAGAGCACTGAACTGAGTTATGAATTATTTATTCAGCCACAAACCTCTCAGATCTTAACACATCGAAACTCGACAAAAGACTGCGATTTAAATATTTTTCATCACATTGCCTGTCCATATCACAAGGTTTTTTTCTTTTTCACCCGATTGTCTTTATTCGTAATGGATATATGGAATCGAAATTGGAATAACTTCACTTCACAATTTTTTTTTACTTATAATTTTCATACTTTTTAGATCATTTGTCACTCGATTGAGCTCTGACTAAAGTCACGTGTTATATCCTGTTCTTACATATGATACAAATGATAATGATTCATTTTGACGCAAAAAGTTCTTGTTTGAAATTGTTTTATTTCCATCAATTAATAATGTATCATGTGTATTGTCTTATCCTCGTCTATTTGTGCTTAGTTAGAATAAAGCAGATTCTCACGACTAGAAGATGCTTTTAGTAGACATTTAAGCTCATTGTTCTGTCATATATGAATCCGTCATTCATCTCGTTTGAAGCCTTTTCTGTTTGACATTTGCGAGAGGGTCTCTTTTTTACAGAGAGAGATATAGCTTATGCAATCAGAAGTTCCGCCTGATGATGTCGATTTTCATTGAAAAACAAAATCTGATTACAGAATTGAAATCGATTTGATCACTATAGTGAATTTGATCTCCTGAATTTTTCCATAGAATTTTTTTTTTATTTTCTATTTATAAATTTTTCATGGATTGAATAATGTTGTGTTGATAAGAGAATCAATAAATAAGCATTTTTTGCATGAAATAGCGTAATCATCCGCAAATGTCGGTAAAAATGATTCATAATTCATTTATCATTAGCATGATCCTCATTTTTATAGACATAATCGTTAAAATTATTCTTTCATTCGTTAATCATATGCTGACTAGTATCAATGTTCTTTTTTGTCTTCATATTTCACGGTTTAAGAAGAAGATTTATCAATTTTTCATATCATCTGAATATTTTTGTGTAATATTTCAATTTCATATTATCATTTCAAAATAGATGAATCCATTTATTAGAAATCAAGATATGTGAACAATTTTTTTATGTAAGTCAAAGATGTATGGGATAGACCATGTGTTGACTTAGGCATCCGAACGCGTAAATTTATTTTTTCATTATCAAAATCTACTGATTACTGATCTGATATCTGTCGACATCATTGAATATTAAAATTATTACAAATTAATTTTTAAAGGTGTATAGTTCATTGTCTTTTATGCCTTATCGTTTTTTTTTCTCTCTTTTTTACGTATTTTTTATTTTTCGAGAATTTTAATTTTAATTTTTTTTTTGGTTTAAGTCAGCACAATAACTTGATATTTTCTTTCTTTCCGAATATAAATTATTAATGACTCTTGTTTTTCATATCAAAATTCACAAAAAAAAAATCTGCGTACGTCTTCAATTTCAGAACTGACACATCAAACTTCACAATTCTACTGGTCGAATTAAAATAGGAAACTAAAATAATTCCTGTATATAAATATCATCATATTTGCAACTGACAAAACACAACGACTAATGCAAATAAATACATGAAAATCTGATCACTTCTCATTCCAATCAATCAGCTCGCTCAAATTCGCGTGAGTGACAAGAAAAACCTTTTTTTTCGTCTCTAATTAATGAGTAAAATAAAATATTATTAATTTTACACCACAATATCACAGCACATATATCCGATCGTTTTTACTTCTCACATATGAATACCTCAATATATTTTATTTTTTCACTGTTGAATGTGCAATTTTTCGCTTTTGACCGTGACGTCAAACTGCTTTGTGAACATGCATGACAAATTATATAATTTTCAATTCAATTGTTTTTAATCTGATTTTTTACTGTTTGCGGTTTTTTGAGTGAATAACAAATGTAGGTATATAAAAATTCATTATAATGATGTGAAGGAACTAATGAGCATTTAGAGGCAGCTGATTAAAAATTGATCTCACACTCTCTCAATTTTTCAACAACAAAAAATTTACTTTATTTTGTTATTATTATTATTTTGTTCGGACGTCACTGCACATTCTTATTTTTTTTTTCCCTATAAGCATTCCGTTTTAATCAGTGTCAAACGACAAACTGACTGAATAAATCGAAAAGAATCCTCAGAAGTTGTTATGTGTACAATTTGCTGTATGTTTCTGTTACCTGCCCACGATACATCAACAGCACTTGCTTACTTGCTTATGTATCGAAAACATTTATGTACAATGCATACACAATAATTTCTTTTTTTTATTCCTTTTTCCCTTCTTTTGCATAACAATTGAAATAAATATTTCGTCTTTCTTCAGACTTAGTTGTACCATTCGTGAATTGCTACTTCTTCTTACTCTTTCATTCTTTTATTAAGCTGAAGAAACCGAATGCAAATACTGCTTTGTTATTGTTTCTGACGTAAATTAGTCGGCATTTCTCTCATAATTTCCATCTTCTTCTTAACTTAACTATTATCATATAATTCTCTAACGAAGAATGAAAAATCCCAAGAAAAAGAACGACTGTGACGATGATGCTAAATAAGTAGGAGCAATAAACACGTAAATAGGTAATGGAGAAGAAGTGGTTAGTTGACAAGCAAACGAAATGATATTTTCAATAATTTACGTAATTTCTTATGTGCAGTCACAGTAAGTAGTCCTCCATCGACAAGGCAAAAATAAAATAAAGCTCCGCAATATTCTTTCACTTGACAAAGGAAACCTAATATTTTAATTCAAATTTATTTATAGCACCCTGATGAGAATATAAGTCCATAAAGTATGAGTATATACTTTTTAGAAGCCCCGCACTTATGTACTCACTCTCATACATGAAAAAATATCAAAGCAGCGCAATGGAGAAAGATATGGTAGAGAAGGCAAGTATGTAAGCAAAAAATAAATAATGTTATAATATAGACATTGCGATGACATTGAATATTATGGAGAGTGAGAGAAAAAATAGAAGCTTGACGAAGCTTATAATTGCCACAAACAACGATAGAAATCTAATAATCCATTTTCAATAGTCTCAATACACTCATATGTATGTGCATATTGAGTCATGCGGAATAATAAAATTGTTAGTAAATCAATTAATATTCTTTTTATAGTTCAAACAGAAATAAAAGGAACTAGATTCAATTACATGCGATACATTGATGATGATAATAAATCAGGTGTTAATGCTAACGAAGGGAGTTGTTGATTTAAACGGACTTGCATTGTTTCCTTGAAGAGCGAGGTGCTACTTCCGTAACTGTACAATTTTGTTTGCAAATTTGATTTTGTCTGAGTATTTTTTTTTTTTGTTTATTTTTAATGTTTTTGTAGATTTTTTCAAGTAGCGAAATTTGATTACGATTGTTTTGTGCTACAACATTCCTGTACAAATGAACTTTTTAAAAATTTTGAAATCTTTACGAAACATGATGAAATTTTTAATACGCAAAAAGCAATGAAAAAAAGTCTTTCGAAACCGTTAACTGATAACTGTCATTGATGCGTCACATTTCGATCTAATACCCATAAAATACTGTATCTCTTTTTACTTCTATAAAGCGTCATCAACATCGACCCTTAATGAAAGCAACTTAATATAATGCCTCATAAATGGACAGAAAACGAGCGGAGGATGTTAATCTACAAAAATATTACGCCTCATAGAGATAAATTTAAGGAACCAAAAACTAAATCATTACATTAATACCATCATCGTCATCATCAACGGCTAAGTAATGATAGCAACAATACATAAAAGTTCATAAAGTCCATGTATTACGGAGAATTCTTTCTTTCCCATGTCATTCCGGCGTATTTATTTTTATTTACTTGAATCATTTGATTTGCCGTGTGTTTTAACAGTCAGCGTGTGATTGCGCGTAGAATCTACAAATACATCTTTAATTTCTTTTTCGTGTACACATTTCGGGCTACTTGATTAACCATCCTCTCTTATTCTCAATAAAAAAAATGTGCTCATGGATGGTGAGAGCTCTCTCGTGTGCTCTTGCTCTTGAACGTGGTAAAACGAGGGAAGAAAAAGAAAAATAGCAAGAAAGCATTTTCATAAACCTGACATGCTCGGGGATTTTGAAAAACAGCATGCTCATATGCATAGATGTAATAGAAATCAGGCGGTGTGTATTTATGCGCGCGCACACACATTGTTCATTACAAAAATATTTTTTATTTTTTTCCATCACTTCTCCCTTTTTACATTTACAGAGAAGAAAAAACCACACCGGAATTACACATTTTTGAATTCTCTTTCAATGACAGACATAAGCTACAAAGTATGTGCAATCACAGCTTGTAGAATAGAATGAAGAGTATCATAAAGTAAAGACGAAATTAATGAACAATGATTCTTTTGTTATAAAAATGCAGCATACCAGCATTATTCAGCAATTAATGCACATTTTTTTGAAAATTCCTTTTATTTTTATGTCCCGCACAATAACGCATGATTTTTTGTGTATTATTATTTTTCCCTTCCTAGATAAGAGAGATGTGAATCGTGTGTATACACAAATAAATACATACACAAATATGGAGAAATGGAAAGGAATGTTTTTATATAAACACAAGTAGATATTATGATAGGAAGGAAGCAACAGCAACAGGGAGAGAGAGAGAACGAGAAGTAATCGTACAGAGTAGAAATGAAAGGAAAGCTTCAATACAATTTTATTATTATTTTAATACGAGTGGGTGGCTTGGTTGACGTAGACTCAGGTGCCTTGCAGGAAATTTGCTGCGACAATATGAAGGACATGAAACAATTTCCATTTTTTTCTCTCCTGTTTTTTTTTTTTCATGTCATATAACTCAAAGGTTCATTGTTCCTTTACATAAATGCATGTGGATTTGCATAATTTAATTCTTTACGTAATCTGAACCTACTTTCCGGTTGTAATAATTCAATACATTCCATAACTTTGTTCCATTTATTAGAGCTTCACACTAGCTTCATATTATAGGTCGGAGAGATTAGGGTAAACATTGTATTAGAATGAAAGATTAAGATTTAATATTTATCAATGTCGACTACAAAACTACATCTTTTTTATCTGTTAAATGCATGTAATTGTCTATTCTACACATTATTTTCCACTACTGAAAAATTGATTGCGTGCGTGTGTGTGTGTGTATGTGAATATGCACAGCTTAATATAAAGGGCATTCGTATACAAAAGACTTTAAAAATCATTTTACTCGTTATTCTTTTTTATACCTCATATTAAAATAAATGTATGCTTATGCTTAAAGAGAAGCACAAGAGCAGAGACAGAAACAAGAATTGCGAGAAATAAAAAAAATTCTTCAAGTGCACTCAAAGTTATTTTTTTGCAGCAGCAGCAGGAGGAGAAGAAAAGAACAAGAGGAAGAACAAAAAAAAAACAAAGAAATTCGATGAATATCGCCAAAATAATGCACTTTTGTGAATGTATGATGATGATGTTGTTGATGTCTCACTCTCACTTCATTTTATATACGTCAATACCCCGAATTAAACGGAAAATAAGAATTGAAAAGAAAATATAATAAAAATATTGCTTGCGCTTGTGTATTTGTTGCTTTTGCTCAAAGCCGCTATACTCATCACACACCACCACCATCCATGCACAGTCGAAGAGAAGAAAAACATTTTTATTTTTATTTTAATCAATCAATAGAGAGAAAAACAGAATCTTACACGTGGCTGCTTGTGTAAAAAAATATATATAGATCTATAGCTATAGTGGTGAAGAGAATATTCGTAGGAAAAATTGCTTGCCTGCTTGTTTGCATGTAAATTCGTTTCTATTTTTCTACATGTGACTGTGTGATTGTATTAACAACTACAATCACCATCATCATCACAAAAACCGTCTGATTCATGTGAATTCATGTGAGCAACGCCGAAAATTTTTTTCTTTTTTTCTGTTTTTCTTCTCACTTTTTGCATTAGTGTGTGAGGCGGTGTGAGATATTTACTACAATTTTATTACCATCAGTATGAGCGCGTGTTCAGCAACGAAGATGGGCTTTTTCCTCGCCACTTCGTGAAGGTTGAATGGCTCTGAAATTGTGTATATGATATTGTTGATGATGATGGTGATTCGTGTGTATATATACATTTGTACTATGGCGAAAAAAAAATTGAGAATGAGATGGCACATGGTCACTTAATAACAAAACAGTAATATTACAAACACACATTTGCACTGGTGTCGTATTATCGCGATGATTGCACGACTTTTTGCATTTGTACTTGCCATACACTTATTTTTGTCAGTATCTCTTTTTTTCGGTAAAATTTCATGTACCAAGAAATCAAGTGAAGGAAGAATGAAGGCAGTAGAGAGAATGAGCAATAAGAAACAAGCTGAACCTGAATTGCATTTATTTTAATGGATAAACGATTCGTAAGAAGTCGAGAAAAAAATGTCCTTGCCATTATATGTGTCTGTTGTACTTTCCATTTTTGGATAGTTAATGATAACGCTCGTTTGGCTGGAAACCTTCAAGAATAAACCTTACGTATAGCTGTGTATGGTCTCATTAAGTCGGATGAAAACAACAAAGTCAAGAAGAAGCATTGTACACAAAAAACCAGATTGGTGGTTCTACGTGAGCAAAATGAGCAGCGTGTCTTTTATTCTTTGAAATGAAGACTTTTTGTTTAATTTTGTATTACAATGTGCTTTTCGTTTTTGGGTGCTGTTTTTGTTATTTTTCTTTATTTTGGACAAATCATAATAGTAATAGTAATAGAATGACTCACTAAATTTTGAAGTTATCAAAACATTTGTTCCTCATATACAGACAAAAATTATTATATTTATTTCAGCAAAAAAACATCAACATCGAGTCATATGATAATCAATTCAATGAACTCATTTTAGTGGACTGTCAAGTTTCTTACTCTGTCTTCTCTCTCTCGTATTGGATTGTATTTTTTCTTACAAAAAAAAATTAAAGTATAATGCTAGGCGCTTATAGTCATATGCATGACTTTATCATACGTACATAAAAATTCTTAGACTAGGTTTCAAATACATAAGAACAATAGAATGCAAGTAGAAGCATCAAAAGCAAATATGCGACCCTTTTTTACAGGAAAAAAAATTCATAGTCATACACGAAAAAAAAGTGAGTATGGAGAAAGAAGCAGAAGAAATAAAAATCTGAATAATACATAATCATATAGCGATTTTAGTGTGATTCACACCCTGACTGTTTTAATTAATAATCATCTTTTTTTTCTACTTTAAAAAAGAAAGAAAAACAGCACATATATACATAAATTTTTATACTACACATTTACAGCGGAGACGTAAGTAAGTGAAGAAAACATTCTATACAATCAACCATATACTTATTCATTCATTTGAAATGTGTGCGGATCATCATGAAGTGAGTACTTTGTGGATGATGAAGAATGAAAAGCTTTATGAGAGCATCATATGCAACAACAAAAAAAAAATGAAAAACGAAAAATTCTTTTCAATATTATCATTCTTCATTTTCCCTTTGCCAGACAAGCCATATCATTTACAAAATCTTAATTGGGAAGAAGAAATACCGAAAAATAATGTATGGAAAAACGAAAAAAACCACTTTTTTGCACCTCCCAAGTGCTCTATACACTCACTTTTTTCCTCTGTTCTGTTCTGTTTGAAGTAGAAAGAAATGAAACTGAACAAAAAAAAATTAGAATAATGAAATGGAAAAGCCCATAACAATACATGACAACGATAATGGAAAAATAACGCCAGACACTTCATATCGCGCTTTTTTTAGTTGTATAGTTGAGGTAGAAAGAAAAAATAAAACAACATTCTCTGTATAGCAAAATCAACATGCTATATAGTACTCATGTCCAACATATACAGTTTAAGTATTTTTTAGTATATTTGCGAGAAAACCGATGGCACGATTTTTCCATGCACACACATTCATACAGACGCAGTAGTTTATTTTTTTTTGTATAGTATATATATTTTTTTTTCGGTTAAATGCTGCAGATTATTTAACGGTTTTTCGATTTAATTTTTTTTCTCTTTCATTTCACTTTATACTGTGGAACTTGCAGAACTTCTTATGTGTTATTTTTGCTGAGGCACCAGAAAAAAAAAGTTCTTTTGAATTTTCGCAATTTTACGAAAGTAATAAATTCTACACATAAAAAAAGAGTATAAATGAGCGTACCTGTTGACATAGGCGGATTCTCTAAAACAATCGGTCGATACAGCTGCTGTCCAGACTCTTGTTCTTCAAGATATTGGAGATATTGAGCTGCTCGTAGCAAAGCATCTACTCCACACGATAATGACGTCATATTGTGTTTTTTTCTCTCTTTACACTTCTGACTTTTTATTTTTTTTTTTCTTATACCACAAGCACAAAAAAGCAAGTCAATTTTTTGCTGTCGTGAGAATTAAAAATTAACTCGGCGTTCGTTATCCAACTCACAAAATAAGTTTAGAAAAGAAAATAAGTGTAACCGAAATTTTATTTTTCATATAGATGCATTAGACTCTTTTTTTGCTTGCTTTAAAAAAAAGGAAGCAATTCACACTTCCCCAAAAAAATTCGATTTTTTTTTTCAATCGTATTTTTCACAAATAAAAAAAAAATTCAAGTGAAAAAGTTTTTCTTACAATTAATTTCAATTCAATTCACTAAACACAAAATTATTTTCAACGCTGTTTTTTTCTACTAACCAACACATGCACGAAAAGAAGGAAAGGAAAAAAAAATTATGAGCAAGCCAGTCTCCCCGTCTTTGTTGTTTTTTTTTCGCTTGCTTGCTTTATTTGAACGCCATTTTTGTAAAATTGTGAAAATTTATCACTTCTTATGCTTAATTATTATAATATACACATGCACTGATCATTTGCGAGCTATGCACTCGAGATTATTTTAAATCATTTGTAAAATTTTACAAAAATCTGACGCAAATTTTTTTTCTATCTCCACAACGAAGAAAAAGTCTCGAAACACAATTCTTCAATTCACTCTGCTTCCAACGAAATTCGTTTAACGTCTGATTTTCAATATTTTTTTTTTCTTTCCCAGTAATAATACTCAGCTCGTGATCGCTTCTATGTATTGGTTCTTCGTATGTTTGAGATAAAAAAAAATGTGAAATAAAATTTTTTGAGAGAGCTCCCTCTCTCCCGACCTTGAATTCTCTCGGATTTTCTTACTTTTATAATTTTTTTTTTCTTGCTGTTTAGCTTTTAGACATGCTACATAGTTTTGATGATATTTAATAAATAAATTATTAAGGGAGTTTCCTCTCTTTCATTAGTAAGTATCTGATAATTAGTTAAAAATCACAATTTTGATTGGAAAATAAAATTAATTTCTTTAACCGTTACATCTGGAATGCACGATAAATGTATGTGAAATTTAAAGATATCGCAGCAAAACATTCTAACATCATCAGCCTAAAAATATATTCATTTATTTTCAATTCAAATAGATTCACTAAAAAGTTTTTTGCTTTTCAAACCTCAGCGGCACAATACAGTTGTGACTATATCATACGATCTGGGTAGTTTACGTTTCCTTCTATTCAAACTATCACGTTGTTGTGGTGTTTATGAAATCTATATCTAGTACAGTATATTTAAAATGTAAATATTTGCCTGCTTGTTTTTGAACTTTAAAATTTTTTTTTATTCTTTGTGCTGGAAACCTTACAATTTCAAGACACGTATGTATTTTTGGATCGAATGATAAATTATTATTGTAAATAATTGAAATATGAGCTTAGCTGTATTTCGATGACATCTTCAAAAATAATTAATTATCGCTAATTCAGTTGGATTTTGATATATTTGCTGTATCATTTGATATCCTCTGAATCAGTTGAGGCTTTGAGAATCAGCATTATTTTTTTTATTCAATAATGCTGAGTTTGTTGTCAAGGGTTGAGACAATTTTATAGTCAAGCTTTAAGTTTTTTAATTATTGCCTAAAAACATTTAATTATTATTTTTATCTACAACGTATGCATTGCTTGATAGGCTTGCATTAGTTTATGAACGACTAATTTCAGTGACACAATATCAATACCATGAGTGACTCAAGTCTATATGTAGAAATCTTATCACGTGTTCATGCACACTAACTTCTAATCTATCTCAACAAAGCACATCTCAAAATATTCCATAGCATATTCTGCAAATCATCAATTTAAAATAATCATCAGCCGAAAAATAAAGATGAGATTACTCTCTCATTATTTATGCATTCCCATCAATTTGCAAAAGGTCACGTAAAAGACATGTGCCGCTCGGCAAAGGGAAATGTATGAAAAAAAGTGATTCAGATAATTTTTCAGTTTCTCTCGGTTCTCTCTCGCGTAAAAATTAAAAAGCATGGCAAACAAATACAGTCATCGTCCCATAATCCACACAAATACAAGTAGCTACCTTTCTATCCACATCAGTTTTTTCTTCCTCTCTCTCTCTCGAGAGAGAGAGCCACACACGTGCTTTTTTCATTCTCTCAATTTCATGCCATGATGTTGCTTTACTTGTAGTTGTGTATGATGAAAAAATAATATCGTAAAATTGTAAATATTGTCGCTCATATATTCATTCTAGAGCTCAGAAAAAAAAACTCAATATATAACTGTCGCACAATAGTTTAAGCCACTTAGTGCTGTGTAGAGACTCAATTAATCAACTTCAAGACAAAGAAAATAGTACAAAGTTTTTTTAATAAGGTCTGAGGAAATTTTTTGCTAAGTTTTTCAATGCATAATTTTTTTGTAAGGAATGAAAAATTTCCCTTGACAAAAAAAAAATGTTTAAAGATTTTTGTTTGATAGTGTGTGCATAAACGATCCATACGATTGTCCAAAAAAAAAATAAGAACAATAACTCTCGGGTTCTTTTTTATCGTGTGATTCTCACATTACGCAAAACTTGTTTTTTTTCTCGTTCCTTACTAAACTTATATTACTTTTTTTTGAAAAAAAAACCTGATGCTTTTTAACTTAGGCATAGAACAGTATTGGTGACGAACGGATTTTTTTGTAAACATTCGACAATACACATAAGAAAGAATTATTTTTTGAGAGAATTTTGAAATCTAACATGTGACTACATTTTTTCATGCTTATATCTTATTTCCTACAAAAAAAAATTTGTTTTACATTGTTTTTTCAATGTCATCAACGTATATTAATCTCAAAACTGACCTTTCTTTAAACTTTCAGCAGTTTTATAAAATTGCTGCTATCATTCAAATTTCTATTGATAAGAAGTTATTTGCTCTTATTTATTTATTTATTATTCTACTTAAATTTGTTTATAAAAAGTCATCAAATACAACTTTCATTATCATTAATTATTACAGACTCTATCAAAGTCATAATTTCTTGTTCTCATGCAATTACTTTTGCTCTATTTTCTATGTAGATTGTCTGACCTAAAGGAGAATCATTCAAGATGTCAATAGAACGTAATCATCATACAACAGTCATTGATGGAGGTTTTTCAACCCAACTTGCAGAATATGTTGGCAGCAACATTGACGGTGATCCATTATGGTCAGCGAGATTTAATGCTGTTCAGCCAGAGGCTGTCATTCAAGCGCATTTAGACTTTCTTAATGCTGGTGCTGAAATTATTTTAACGAATACCTACCAGGCATCAATTCAGGGCTACAAAGAATATCTTAAATTGAATGATGAAGAGAGCTATGAACTCATAAAGTCAACAGTTAAACTTGCACATGTTGCGCGCGATAAATATATATCATCAAACTGTGAAAACACAAATCTCAAAAGGCCATTGATTTTTGCTTCCATTGGACCGTATGGTAACTATACAAAATAAAGTTTGTGCTAATTTAAATTTGATGGTTTTTATGAACTCAATCTGCTTATCATTCATTTGTCCCTATTTAATTATCATTTTTTGAACAATAAAACTGCCTCTAATCAAATTGTGTCACCGCAACTTTTCTAGGTGCCCACCTTCATGACGGAAGTGAATATACAGGATCATATGAGAACAAAGTTTCTGTCGGTACAATCAAAAAGTGGCATAAAGTACGCATACAAGCTTGTATTGAGGCTGGTGTCGATGGATTAGCCATTGAAACAATTCCATGTTTGGTAGGCTTAAGATATTTTGTAGATAAGTGGAAATACTTATTTATTGAATATTATTTTAGATGGAGGCACGAGCCGTTGTTGACTTGCTTCTCGAAGAGTATCCAGATGTGAAGTTTTGGGTGTCATTTCAATGCAAGGTGGTAAATATTTTATTTTAATTACTAACAGCCTAATCATGGAGTCACTCGTACTAATCACGCAAGTATAAGTTTATACTATTGCTATAAATGTGGGAGCAGGATTCATAAATTTAAACATAATACACTCATACTAAGCTTTTAAATTACTAACCAACTCTAATAATTGGTATTGGATGCATAATTTACATGGCATGGACATGAAAGTCTTAATCAGGGTTAGAATTTGATTGATTTAATAACATTTTTTAAAGTTTGCAAACTCTGTCATTATTTGTTGAAAACAATGCAGTCACAACAAAATAATCAATTTGTAGTCTGTCAGCATTTTTAAGTGAAACGTTCAGAATATTTTCTGTCAATTTTGACAACTTTGCTTCAAAATCTAAGATTATAAATAATAGTCAATCAACTTCTATCTTGATCCCAAAAATTCTTTAAAATCCTTAATAGTTTTCTATCTTATAGGATGGAAATGCTGTTGCAAATGGCGATAGCTTCTCCGAATCTGTCAGATCGATATGCAAGCAAGTTGAAGCTGCTCGTAAAAGACAGAATTTAGTAGCGGTTGGAATAAATTGTATTCAACCCGGCTTTGTGACTGAATTATTTAAAGAAGTAGAGAAAGAGGTCCAAGACTTTAATATTCCACTTGTTGTCTATCCCAATAGCGGAGAAGTTTATACGGTAACATTTGATCCATTCCTAAAATTTATGCAAATTGTCAATTTTCAAATTCATTTAAGGTTGAAGAGGGTTGGCATGGAAAGAATGACTGCAAGCCTTTGGAAGAATACATTGAAGAATGGATAAAATTAGGTGCCGGCTACATTGGCGGTTGTTGTCGTACAAATGCAAATGATATTAGAAAAATTAAGGAAGAAATTGATGCCTTAAAAAATTAAAAACGCTTTCAATTTTTGTGAGAATTGTATTTGAATTTTGTTATATTATTTAATCCACTTAGTTAAGATCCACTATTATGAAATAAATTAATCAGAATTCTATCTAATGTTTCAAAACATTTTCTTTGCGCTTGATTTTTATTTACTTTAATTTTTTTTAATAGTATATTTGTTTATAGCTATTTGAATAAGAATATATATGATTCTCATTATTACACTTATTACTCGCTCAATTATTAGTTACGATTTTAATAAAAATAGGGTAGGTGTAAGATGCATTATAAATGGAATGAGATGAATATCATCACAATGTCTTTTAATAAATGAAATTGGTCTCATACAAAAAAACGGCATGTATAGTTACATTTAGAGAATGATAGAGATAGGATCCGCATGTTGAGAGAATATTTTCAAAGCGTCAGCTCCATTGCCATATCGAGTTAATTAATATATTATTCCTTTTTTTTATATTTTTAAAGTAGTGTTTGTTCCACCATGATTTTATCGTAGCCACTTGGGATTGGATAATTAAAATTGTCGACAATAAGATCAAGTATCGCTCCATCGTCCACAAATAAGCAAGGGTAGATTTCATTACTATTATATTCACCATTGTTATTAGGTTGTGAGCCAGTCACTTTAATTAATGAAGGAACATTTAAATTCTTTCCATTTAAGTAGAAATTCAGTTCAATATGATCATAAGTAATTCCAATGATATCTCCTTCTTGTGGCAATATTGATCGTTGATTTGATGTTGATTGTGTTGTAGGCATGACATGATGAATCTCATTCGAGGAATTATTTTCTACAGGCAATAAATTCTCTGTATCCTCATTGATACCATTTGCTGTTGATCCATTCTCATTCTGTGAGCTATACAATTCATTTAGATCAAAAATCACACTCCCATCATTCATAACAAGATTCTCAGCATTTAGGCACCAACTGAATTTATCCAAACCTCCTCGAGTTTTATTGAGATCAGCATTAAGGGTACATAATCCAATACTCCAGTGTCCTGTTTGTTGGATTTTCACCTCAAAATAGCTTTTTGATTGTAAAAGTGCTTGATTTAAAATTGCTCCCCCAGTTCCACATAATCGCTTTCCATTTTTGAGCACCACGACTTCCTGACCTGAAAAAATGTAGATTTATGAGTAATGAATTTATCTACGCCTGATTTCACGATAATACATTTCATTTCCATAAAATATCGAGTTTTTCCGTCGGATCAATAAGATCCAAGGATACCGTACTTGCATTTTAATGGAAATTGCGATTTACATGCAAAATACTAAAATATTATTTTCTTCTTCTTGAACAATATTGAAATATTTTATTTTTTCGTACCTATGTGTCCTGAATCCAGCGATATTAAGCCCTCTGGTGTACTAAGTGGAAAGTTGTTCTTAGTAGATCGTCGTAAGCAACAACAGGTCCTTAAGAGCTCATTAGCAAACATATTTCTAATAATAATACTTTGTCATAAAAATAAAAATAAAACTTTTCTCTTTGAAAAACTTTTCACTACTAAAGTTTATGTTGGATTGTTCTGGGATTGTGAAAGCGCTTTGACTTAACTGTTGATGACGAGTGGATGTTTTTGGGTTTTTTTTTTCTATTTAAAGGGGTATTTTGGAATTTTTTGAAGAGGTGTTAACAGATTGTGATGTTCTCGGTAGAACAGAATTAGAATTAACTGCTGTTATATCAATTTTACTTGATTTTAAAGGTTTTAGGATGTGACTGCTAGTCATTTTCTTAAATTCACCACAAAAATTGCGGCAACTTTAAATCTCTTAATAGCTCAATGTTAAATTCATCAAAAACTTCCCTAAATCATGATTTTTTTTTGCACAACTTGCTGTTTTTACAAAATTAAAACTTAAGTACCACTTTTGATTCATGACAAACTAGCAATCAAATATTTCTAATCATTCAATTTTCTCATATAAACTATTCACCAAATCATATTTCAAAATCCACCACAACATGTGACTCACAATCTTATAAGAAATTCGTTTTAATTTAAAAATTTCCTTCATTCTGACAAAGAAACAGAACGAAAATAAAACTGAAACTTAAAAAGTGATGAAAATGAAACAGCTGATTTTTTGTTTTTGTTATTTTGCTTTCATTCATTTTCTCATTTTTCATATAACGTGATACTCAGTTTCAAAATAATCGTCAGTGTGGAGAGACGTTGAATTCGCGCATTTTTCCGCGGTTTTTGCGATAATTAATAGGTGTAAAAGGTGAAATAGTCAAGGTAAAATGTAGACTTATATTAGCTTGTAGTATTATTATAAGTTTATGGCCGTGATTAAGACGGTTGTATAAGATTTTATCAAGCTTTAATGTAATAAAAAGAACATTGTGTTACAAAGTTGATAACAAAGGTATTGAAAGTCATAGCAGAATAAGCGTTTCAAGCAGCTGATATGATTTTTGGGAAAATATTGAGATCAGGTCAACAAAAGATATTAAACCAATGAAAACGATCAAAAAAAGAGAAAATTTCATAAAATCGCGAAAGAAAAGTAATATTAAATGTACATAAGCACCACACATATAACAGCGAAGAAGAAGAAGAAGTAAGAGCACAGAGCAAGACGAAAAGAATCAGTAATAAGGAAAAATTGCAGAAAGGAGAAAGAAAGTAAGTGGATTTAGTTATGCAATTTGTGTTATTGATCGCAACATGATTTCAATGCATTTCATTGTCCACGTGGTAGATTAACGCTCTATTCACCTTTAACATTCTCTCTCACTTGGTATACATTCTTATTCCGTGTTAATGCATTTCTTAAGCTTTAAATTATTGTTATTATTATTGTGAAGATAGAAGTGAGCATTATGAGATGAAGAAAGGTTCACCGCTACTTCTTGATCAATGAAAATTGCTCTAAAAAAATTCTTTTTCATTACATCTGCAAGAAATAAGCCGAAGATCGTGAAATAAAAATCTCATTTTCTTAAAATTTAATAATAAAAAAAAGTGAAGAAAAAACAAACAAAGAACAAAGTAACAACAGAAGCATCGCGCTTATGCATAAGAAGAGAGTCGAAGAGAAGATAAAATTAATGAGGAAAAATTAATTACAGTTAATTGTAGAAATCTCTTCTTTACATTTTTGTGTGTTTCTGCTTCACCAAATGAAAAATTTATGAATGAAGAGTGAGCAGCTACTGAAGTGATTTTTCCATAGAGCAGCATTATGTATCACTAGCATTATGAAAGTTGCTAAATATCGCACACAAAAATCTCTTCTGTGGACTTCCAAAAATTAATACTAATTTATTCTTTCTTATATCGATTTTATAGGTGGCACTATCGAAAATTCACTTCTACCTTAATTGCTTTCCATGAGGTTAATTAATAATATTAAAGATCAGTAGAAATCATTAAAATGTGGATTAAAGCTGAACATAAAATATTCAATGTAATGAGTATGGACATTAAAAGATGGAATCTTCAATGGGAAATAATAAAAATGTGCTTCGATCTCATTCAATGAAAAAAATCTTAAACGGGAACAAACGTTGCAAAAAGTGAAAGATCTCATAAGACACACGCGCAGACCCACAAAGACTAATCTCATCGTCAAATCAACATTGTTGCAAATTATTACCAAATGATTACATAAAATAATTAAATTTTGTTAATTAAATTATAAAATACACAAGCAAATAAGAAGCAAAGGCCAGCAAATAGGCAAGCAAGATGATTCTTGAAAATAACTCAAAATTACTGACAATTAGTCAACATAGTATGTTACTCGTGACATCGCTCACAAATGGATTTCGAAAATTTCTAACAAGATTCTCAGGTGAGTAATGCCTCTAAACCCTCAATTTATGATCGCTTATCCTATACCTCCATCCACAACTTTGTGTATCACGAATCCATGCATCACGTGAAAGAGTTATAGAGTCAGGTGAAAGAGAGCATGTGACTCATCATCATTAACAGCGAATTTCATGAACAAGGACATTGCCGAAATTACGGGTTAAGTCATGCAATATGTAATGTGTCTCAGACAGAACAGATTAGGGGTTGGTTTGGCTGTTATTTTTTGTTCAATAATAATTTTCATTTTCCACCACTTGTGCGGCTGTTTTAATAGCAACTTTATCGTTTATTAGAAAATTCCTTCCTCTTCTCTGTTTGTGCCTGCCATTATCACACTCAATGTTTATCAAAAAGGACTCGCACGTTTTCTCCATACTGCGAGCATAACATTGAATTTCATGCTGAAATTTTCACAACTACGATTTTCATGGAAAAATCGATAAAAGCTTCCATTTCTTTATCCGAATTACTACACAAACTAATATTTATTAGGTGCATTAACTGTCTTCTTTTGGAATGATTTAAGCCTCTCAGACATGCATTTATGCTAATTAGATTTTCCATATTTTAACATTTTCATTCGCTCAATTCGATTTAAATGCAGTAATATTTCAATCAATAATGTTAATGTCTATAAACGGATCATCATAAATGTCACAATAATTTTATGTTTCACTGATTATTGAACGACAAACATGCATAAGTTGCTGGATAAGATAAAAAAAAAACTCAATAATTTTGGAGGGTTTTTTGACAGAAATGAGGTCAAAAGTTGGATAGAATCGATGATTTATTTAGGGATGAAACAAAATGTAATAAATCAGGAAGTGGAAAATCTGTTATTTTTCCATTTGTGACTTCAAAACTATATTTTTGGATATCAAGTTTCTATAGACAATGAGAAAGACTTTTAGCAAAGAAAATTGTCTGTGAAAATTGAGTACACAGTCATTACTGAATTTAATTAAGCAAAAAACTTTTCATCACCTTAAATTCAGTTTTATTCGTACTTAACATCCACACACATGTTCACAGCAGATATGGCTAATATCTAGGAGAGGCATAAATTGCCAAAAAGTCGTAAAATTTTCTTACTCAGTTTCATGTGGCTGTGATAAGTATAGAAACGTGACACACATTATTAACGGCATGAAACAAATGCAAATTTTCCCAAAACACGAACCAATTTTCTCGGATAAATCTCGAAGAAAAAAGTGACAAAATTGATTTTGACTAGGGTCGCCCCTAGTCCAAAATTGAAAATGTATTTCCTACTTGGTTCTTTGCTCAAAAAAATTTTAGGATGTTTTATTTGTATTTGTTTTAAGCACTAGAATATTTATGCAAAGTTTCAATCCATTTGTATAAACCCTCGAAGAAAAAAGTGACAAAATTGATTTTGACTAGGGTCGCCCCTAGTCCAAAATTGAAAATGTATTTCCTACTTGGTTCTTTGCTCAAAAAAATTTTAGGATGTTTTATTTGTATTTGTTTTAAGCACCAAAATATTTATGCAAAGTTTCAATCCATTTGTATAAACCCTCGAAGAAGAAAGTGACAAAATTGATTTTGACTAGGGTCGCCCCTAGTCCAAAATTGAAAATGTATTTCCTACTTGGTACTTTGCTCAAAAAAATTTTAGAATGTTTTATTTGTATTTGTTTTAAGCACTCAAATATTTATGCAAAGTTTCAATCCATTTGTATAAACCCTCGAAGAAGAAAGTGACAAAATTGATTTTGACTAGGGTCGCCCCTAGTCCAAAATTGAAAATGTTTTTCCTACTTGGTTCTTTGCTCAAAAAAACTTTAGAATGTTTTATTTGTATTTGTTTTAAGCATTCGAATATTTATGCAAAGTTTCAATCCATTTGGATAAACCCTCGAAGAAAAAAGTGAGAAAATTGATTTTGACTAGGGTCGCCCCTAGTCCAAAATTGAAAATGTATTTCCTACTTGGTTCTTTGCTCAAAAAAATTTTAAGATGTTTTATTTGTATTTGTTTTAAGCACCAAAATATTTATGCAAAGTTTCAATCCATTTGGATAAACCCTCGAAGAAATAAGTGACAAATTGATTTTGACTAGGGTCGCCCCTAGTCCAAAATTGAAAATGTATTTCCTACTTGGTTCTTTGCTCAAAAAAATTTTAAGATGTTTTATTTGTATTTGTTTTAAGCATTCGAATATTTATGCTAAGTTTTAATCCATTTGGATGAACCCTCGAAGAAAAAAGTGACAAATTGATTTTGACTAGAGTCGCCCCTAGTCCAAAATTGAAAATGTATTTCCTACTTGGTTCTTTGCTCAGAAAAATTTTAGGATGTTTTATTTGTATTTGTTTTAAGCACCGAAATATTAATGCAAAGTTTCAATCCATTTGGATAAACCCTCGAAGAAAAAAGTGAGAAAATTGATTTTGACTAGGGTCGCCCCTAGTCCAAAATTAAAAATGTATTTCCTACTTGGTTCTTTGCTCAAAAAAATTTTAAGATGTTTTATTTGTATTTGTTTTAAGCACCAAAATATTTATGCAAAGTTTCAATCCATTTGGATAAACCCTCGAAGAAATAAGTGACAAATTGATTTTGACTAGGGTCGCCCCTAGTCCAAAATTGAAAATGTATTTCCTACTTGGTTCTTTGCTCGAAAAAATTTTAAGATGTTTTATTTGTATTTGTTTTA